TCAACAGGTTGCTGGGGCAGACTTGGACATTGAAAAAGATTTGAACAAATTAGGACAAGCACATCACCATTTGTCCTTATGTTATTCTTTGTGTGGGTTGTTTTGGATAAAACTGCAATTAAACGGTCAAGATACCAAGGAACATCCAGTAGCTAAAGAAATGGCCCGTCTTAAAATTCATATGGATCGCTTGCAAGAAATCGAACGGTCGCTAGAGAAGCGGAACCTTGTAATTGACAAGGAAGCTTCACAGAGAATTATTGCCCACCATTCAGACCTGGACAAGGTACGGTTTTTATTCCATAAGAAAAGGAAAAACATGCCAGTTTTTTCCTATTTGTTTCAGCAAGTTTCGTTCCGAAATGGGTACTTATTTACCTGGTTTTGTCCCTTGATGGTGACTCCAGTTTATCGTAGAGGTCTCTCATCTTTATAAGGGGTACATCAACGAAGTTATGTGTGTATTATTCTTGCGCATGTACAAAGTTTCGATCCGGATTGGGGCGAGGAACCTTGATTTCAGGGGCGGATTTAGGGGGGGGGGGGGCGGACGCCCCCCCCCCCCCCCACCTCAGGGATTCGACCCCCTGCCGACCCAAAGGGTCCCCCCTTTGATACTTTTTCAGAAATCCATTTTTGGCCGACCGACCCTAAAATTTTTCTAAAGGCGCCTTTGGCGCCAATATATACTAACTTTGAGGGGGAGCGCGCGCCATAAAAACGCTATTTTTTTGTCAAAATTTTTCAAAAAGTGCCCAAAAACGGCTTTTTTTGACTGTTTTTTTCAAAAATTTGCCTGCGGCGCAGAAAACTTTGCCAAAATAGGGGCAAAACAGTGCTTTGGGAGAGCTCGAAAAATCAATTTGGTCGACCTAAAAAAAATAAAGGTCGTCAAAATTTTGGAAAATTTTTTGAAAATCCGCCCCCCCCCCCTCGAGAAAATCCTAGATCCGCCCCTGCTTGATTTTCATCGACTTGGTAAGAAAAAGCAAAGAAACGTGATTCCACGTACATTGCTCGTGTCTCTAGATGGTTTCGTATTTTTTGCAGAGAATTAAACTTCATGTGCGTCTCTCGAGATATAACTGGAACCTGCGAAAGCCTAGAAAAGGAAATTGGCGCTATAGAAATCTGGGAAAACAAACTTTTAATGAACCAACCAGTTTTTGATTGAAGATTTGTAAAGAAAATCATTTGGTTTGATTTCCGAGTAGTTTTTTACCTTTGTGATAAGCAAGGGTATTGCAATCGGGCACTCGACTTTTCCCGTAAATAACTTTGTTCACAGGTCTCACTGGACTCATGCATCCTTTATTATAAATTCGATTTCAACTAACCATGCAGCCCATATGTTGTTGAAGTAACACACCTGCTTTAGACGGCAAAGGCTTATGGATGAATCCATCCGGGACCTGCATGTTTTGCTAACTAGTTTTTGTGCTTTTTGGGTTATCGTCTATTGTGCAATTTTGTTGATGTAATTCCTGTAGCCCACTTTTTCGAAAGTTCAGCTTTCTTCCAAGTTGCTGTAACACCCATGCTTGAGACGATAAATCCCGGAAGATCGATTTCAGTCGGGACATGTTATTTTGCAAATTGAAAGTTTCGGCTATTTTATTTTATGGTCTGTCTTTGTATTTTTGCCGGCGTTGTTCTCGCAAATAGGACTTTTTTGAACGTTCGCTTTTTTTCTAGCTTTCCGAAGCTCCGTAAAAAATTTCTAATGGTGCAGGTAATTTTGTTCCGGTTTTTCTGGCCTTTTTGCGATTTACATAATTAATGACAAAAACGAATTTTTGAAGGTTTTTGTTACAATTTTGTTTTTCTTTTCATTCATTTTGAATCTATGTTAAATAAATCGTTTTTGGCTTTTTTTCATTGGGTTAGTGCTGGTTACAAAATTTAAAAATGAGGAAAATTCTGTAATACGAATGTTTTTTTTTGTTTCAGAAATCAAAATCTCAGCTTATCAGTGGTACAAAAAGAAATTGGACCTCTACCTCAGATGAACCTCAAACATCAGCAAGCGGAATTCGTCTAGCGTCGCGTGCAGCTTCAACTGCCACACCCTCAAGTGTGGGAATATCTATGAACCCTTTCAAAAAGAAAACTAAAATAGCCAGTCAGTCTAGTTTGAAGTGAAAAAGAAATGAAGCTTACAAAGACGCTATTAAAAGAGTAGTTGACTCCAGGCTCAGGGGCGAGTTGTGTTGTTCAAAATTGAGGAAATTTGAAGTTGTTTGCTTAATTGTTAAAACTGATGTAAATGTCTCATTCCAGTCTCGTCCTTTTGACACTAGAAAATATATTGAAATATAAGTTCCAGATGGGAGAGCAGGCCAAACAGTTATTACCAAATGCGCCACAAAGTTTTCCAGTTGCAGAGCGAGTTGTACAGAATGTTCCAACCATGAGGATTTTTAAAATCAATTATTGAACTAAAAAATAAGTCGAGGAGATTTTTTGAGAGTCAATGAATGTAGTGAAGGCTTTAATAAAGGTCTTGCTGCTAATTTTTTTTTTTCAGGAAGAAATCTTAAAATACTATATTAACTACAGATGTGCATTCAAACATATTAATGCGTTTTTGAATGTGTTTAGGTATATATGCACTTTTTGAGTTCAATTTAAATTCATCTGCTGAAAGTTGAGTAAATTGCGATCTCCAAATACGAACGTGGAAATGGCCTACTGTGAACTACTTCTAGTTTCGAAAGTAGAACTTAATTTGTAGATTTTCCAGCGAAACAAAAACTTGACCTATTGATCCACTTTTTTCAAATTGAGTTACTTTTATCAAAAAAAGGCCAATCATTTATTCGTCTTGAAATTCAAAAAGGATTAAGGTTAATTTGAAATTTGAAAGTTAAAGTTTTTTTTTCAAAAGTAAATTGGAATTTGTTCTAAATCCTTGCGTTCATTATCTTTTTTTGATGATAGAGGTTGAATTAGTTGAGCTATAACAATCTGTTATCAGTGGCTAAGTATTAAAAGCAGTATGAATAGCATATTTAAATTGAAAATTCAGTCTTGAAACAAAAATTTTAGACCAGTATTTTTTCGATGCAGACAACTTTTTTGATGTTTTTTCCCGAATCACGATTAGCAGGGTTTTCGTATGATACCACACTTGACCCCCAAAGAGATTTCTTTAGGTAGTCAAAGTTGGACAAAAAACACAAACTACACCATGGTTTATCCTCACCCCGTTGGAAGAGTTGTCGTAACAAGCAGGTGGCAGAGGAGCTCGTAGAAAGTTTTGATATTGTCATAAATATCGAAACAGATGTTGAAAACTTTGAAATCGTGTGATATCAAAGATATTTTTCTTTCCGAAAGCAAAGACTATAACAAGCGAATTTTTTTTCAGGCGCTAGCAAAGGTTTTTCAATTGATCGAGGTACCAATTGCAACCTACTGTAATGCTGTATCAACGGCTACGTTGAAATAATAATCAATTTTATCTTTGATTTCTTTCAGCCCAATATTTCAAATTCGTCTCAAGCGAGTCTTTTTTAAGTGTCAGTAAACTTATCGAGGTTGTTTGATTGTATTTTTTTTTTCAGAATAAAGTGTTGAAAGCTCGTCAATTTTTTTGTGGTTGAACATCTGATTTCTTTACCCTTGCGATAAGCAAGGTTATTGCCATCGGGCACTAGACTTTTCCCGTAAATAGCTTTGTTGACAGGACTCATCTGGACTCTTGGGTGGTACCTCGCTTCTTAATGAGTTCGGATTTTTTATTGTTTTCTTCTCATTTGGCCTGGATGTAACAAATCTGACTAGGACATGTTTTTTTATTCAAACGGGAAATGTTCTGTTTCAAATAAAGTTGTTGGCCTAGTAATTGTCTACGTTTTGTTTTGTCGGCTTAGTTGCCACGTCTAAGAATCGTTGTTTTTGCTGTAAGCGGTTTTCATTGTAGTTGGTTTTAGTGTTTTAGTATTTTAAAAATCAGGACGAATCGAAATTTGATTTTATTATTGGTTGTAATTTTACCCGCTAGATTTGTTAAAAAATCGTTTTATTTTCGGCTTATTTCAATCGTTTTAGTGGCCTCTAACTGAGTCGATTGACCAAAAGTTTTTGTATGCGTGCGTTTTCTGAGGGAATTTGAGACCCAATATTGTTTTTGTTTAGAATTTTTCGAATGTTTTTCGGCATGAATGGGTTCTGGTCAGGTATTTTCTGTTTTGTCGCTGCTTGGTAATTTTTTTGTTCCGATGTTATTAATTTTGCATTCATTTGTCTGGGCCTCGTTTTTGCGAAGCTATATTCATTCATTTTGATAGATCTAGTTGTATTTTAGGTGATAAAATATCGGTATATCTTTTTTGCTGATGGCTTTTTGCTTTATGCTTGTCGATTCAGCTCTCGCCTTAGTTTACGAATTTGGTATTCGACCTCAAGTCTCTTCATTTATGGCTTTCATGTAAACTATTTGAGCAGCACTTGAATTGTTCCAATACGATTTGCTGAACAAATTTTCAGCTTATTAGCTGTCGACTTTAATTCTTTCGGCTTATTTGTCTGTTTCCCCACCAATTTCTGATATTGTTTTTATGATCGATAAGACTTTGGTCCAAATTTAAATTTTCGAATGTTCAATTTAATCCCCTTTTGGAACTCTTAAAAAAATTTAATGAATTTAAACCAAAAAGAAAACTTTGATTTTTAATTTTTTTTTTTTTCGTTTTTCTAGTTCTTTCTTGAACTGTAAAAATATTCGAAGTCGAAGTCTTCTTTGATAATTCTTGAGTCTCGTGCTGTTTTAATGCTATACTTGTTGTATCTGCTAAAAGTGAGGCAGGCTACAAACACGAAATGATATATACGGACATGTGTTTTTGGTTTAGTTGAGTTCGTTAACACTGTTTCAAATGTCCGTTCTAATTCGTGAATTAATAGTAAGTATAAATTTTGGTTAGCGTGAAATGTTTACTCAAAATCAAAGTTTTTCATCACAGAATAAAATGTTTGAGTTTGTTGTTTCAAGTTGTAATGAATATAAGATTATGGCCGAGTTCCCTGAGACTGAAATTGACAGTGAGAACAACTCAAAAAGTAACAGTAGTTCAACAGCAGTTGACGCAAAAGAAGCGAGGTCAAGAGTAATTGAGAACAACAACTTCAATGATGACTCCAACTCCAGTGACTTCGAGTCCCCAAACCAGTACGCTTCGGACGACGAAACGACCCTGCGAGAAGAGGAAATGCTGACTAGTGAGGCCGACATTCATAATGAGTTGGATGACCTCCAAGCTGAAAGTGAACTTCCGATCGAGCTACTCCTCAAGAAATACGGACTGCAAAACCAAACTGCTCATTTAGAATCACGTGATGCTTCGGGTTTGGGTTCCAATGAGAGCTCCTCGCCTGGAATCGAAGAGAGCTCGAGTAGCATAGAAAATGGAGACGTAGTTGGACCTTCAAGTAGCAAAAAGCGCCGAGTTGAGACGTCACACGAGGAAGGAGGAAGTTCGGAGGTTTCGGAGACAGCTATAAGATCGCGAGGTGAAGTTGAAGGGGCAAGAGTTGCGAATGATGTCGAGAACTCGGCAACTGAGAGTGACAGTGGATCATCTGATGACAGTGATTTCGTTCCCTTCATACCTTTTATGCCCGCCAAAGAGCCCAGAGTTGGCGAAGAGTTTCAAATTGACGTCGGCATGGCGGCCGAAATGCCGGCCGCTACCAAGCAATCAGAAAAGAGTTCAAGCCACTATCGCGATGATTTAGCCGAGTGTCTCTGGTCGCCTTCGGTTCTAAGCAATGTAGATGAAGTAGAAGCGCATCTTCGTACGCTTCTCAGAATACCAAAAAGCGTTTCGTCAGTTCCTGATAATTGTCATTGGCTGAACGACGTTTATAAGGCCTCCGGTGACTTAAAGATCCCGCTTCCAAAGCAAGCCGAACCCTCTTCAATAAATCCAGAGTTCACTGAACAAGATATTACAGCGTTTGAAACGGGGTTATCGGAGTATGGGAAGAACTTCAATAATATCCAGAAGTATTTTCTTCCGCACAAAAAAGTGGGAGATGTTGTTTATTTTTACTATTTTTGGAAGAAATCTGAAAGGTACGATCATTTTTGCTCCATGTATAAATTAGGTCGAGGGCGGCACTTGCTGGATGAAAACATCACCGACTTCATGTTCAGATTAACTAATGATATTCAGTCTATTCCGCAGCACCCGACAAACACTAAAGAGAGTCCCTTTACTCGCTCGCAAACTGCCGCGTCAGGAGGAACTCAAAATCAAAATGCACTTTCAGAACCAACAAATATTCAAAGTAGAGATACTAGTACTCTAAACGATGTCCGAGATGAATACTTTCAAAGTAGTTCGACTGGTCTTGGCATCAAAAGCGACAATGAAGCGACGAACACTTCAACAAATGCAGAGAATAGTAGTTCCCTTTCGCCGGGCTCCAAATCTCCCTCGCCGCTCGGGCCTAGTCGTGAAAATTTTTTGTTTTCTGACAATGCCAATACTACTAATAATATATTGGTTTCGAATACCAAATCCTCTGTTGTTTTAAACGATGTGTCAAATTAACCACAATTTTTGAGCAATTTGAAGAACTAAGAGTCTAATTTTGCAAAACTTTTATTTAAAAAGTTAAAAACACTCCTTTTGATCAATATTTAGCTGCTTTAGATTTTTTTGAGTACTTGGTGATTTCGATATTTACGCCATAATATTGAAAGTATTTGTAATGAAAAAATTGACCTGTACTTAATTATAATATTTTGCTGTTAATGAATTTTAACTAACTCTCTTGCGAATATAATTTTGCACCTTGTGATAATATCTGCAAGAACATAAATTTACGTTCAATGAGACCATTTGCAGCTATTTTTGTGATGAGATTTTCCGTCTGTCGAAAAAAAGTTTTGTTCATGTTCATTCTGTTCTGTATGCTGATAAATTACAGATTATCATTTTATATCTCTGTGATGTTTTGTTTAATTTAAACTCTTAACGAGGTCAGCCATCTAAATTCTAATTTGTCTACATTTGTTTCCTTTTTGATAAAATACTAGGAAGTTAATCAGTTCGTCGTCAAGTTCTTTTAAAAAGTTTCAATCGCCTAAATGCTTTCTATGAAACACGTTATGAATACTTTCTATCGAGTTAGGTGCTAAGGTTAAGGCAAGGAACTCATGAGTGCGTGAGACTGACTTCGGTTGGTGTCAGGTAGTTTGGCTGAAAACCTTAAAGTTTTTTTGAGTGATTCGCCGTTTTTGTTTCACTTGCGAGAGCAAGTGACGTGCAATCGGGAACTAGATTTTTCCCCGTAAACAGCGTTTCTTGCAGAAATACGTGCAGTTACTGCAGTTACTTTTACGTGAGCAGGCTGACGTGCTCAATTTCTTGAAACTTCAAATGAAAGTATCTCTTAGTTCATTTTAGGTGGTAATTAATTTTTTCAAATGTATTTATTCATTACCGGGTACTAGACTTTTTCCCGTAAATAACTTAAGCCACAGGACTCATCTCCTGGATCCTGAACTCATTCATCCACTAGGCCTTTCTGTTGCAACAGAGATATTATGAGCATGGTAGCATTTCAAATATATGGCCTATCCGAAAAAAGTTTTTTTTTATGTTGGTTGTAATTTTACCAACTCGGTTTGTTTAAATTTCATTTTTGTTTCTTTTTCCTTTCTTTTTTCTCGGTTTAATAGGTTCCTGCATATCTTACATCGGCTTAGTGGCCTAATATTGCATCATTTGATGAGCGAAATTTTTTTTATGGGCGTGTGTGTTCGTTATAAGGGGGGTGAGCTTATCAATTTTTTAGAGTTTTGGTTTTATTTTCCGAATTGTTTTAATTTTTTTTCGTCTTTAAGGATTTCTGCTCAGATATTTTCGGTTTTTTAACGCTTGCCAAGTTCTCCAATGGTACATCTTACATTTTTGTACTAATTTGTTTTTGGTTTCTAGATTAGATCTATTTTTTTTTTCTACCTACTTTTCGAAGTTTTTTCGATTAATTTTTTCTGGCTTTTTACTTCTTTTGAAGTTATCGAACTTTTTTTCTCGAGTATTGCATCGCAAGTGGGACGAAGCAGCTTCGCCTCTGAGTAAAAAAGTGTTGATTTTTCGGGTTTATGGTTTTCGTCCTGGTTTCTGTCGGCTAATTTTCCGTTTTTTGAAATGCAATTTATATCTCGTACGGTTTTCAAGCAGTTTGATTCAGACAAATTCTAGCTTTTACTATAATTGAAAATAGCTCTGTAGTTTAAATTTACCAACTCTGTTTTTGAAAAAAAATGAAAACGGGTTCAGCTAATGGTATATCGGCTTAGTAGATATATCGGCTTATGGTATATCGGCTTAGTAGTTTGATGGGCGATTTTTTCATGCATCAGGAGGGGGGTTGGATTGCAAAGAGTTCTAATATTTTTAGCTTGAAATTTGTGATGGCTAGTTGCGTTTTTTGTCGCCTTAGCTGCCGCTCTATCATTGAATCTCAATGCTTGTTTGTGTGAACGTCGTCCGAGGGTTTGAAAACCGTATTTCAATCAAACTGACCATTTCACTCGACGATTATTTATGGTACCTAGTTTTGGGTTGAAAGATGCATCCAAATACTTATTCCTTCCAGCCTTTTCTGAGTGCTACAGCAAATAGGAAAATAGCGAAGATCAGAATCAGCGGTTAGCAGTAAAATTGGTGAATCACAATCGCTGAAAAAGCACATGCGGAAAAATTTCAAAATTGATTCAACATTTTTCTCATGTAGTCAGGTTGGTGAATCGAAGAATTTACTGATTTTATGAGTAGAGTATGAGCATAGATTTGTATTGAAGTACCAAGTTAGTTTTCACTGTGTCTATCTTTAGTTAATTTGATGCTACTGAAAAAAAAACAGAGTATGATATACGAGCGATTGATGTTTTATTTTTCGCTTGAGTGTGCGAAGTTCAAATCTGTATCGTGAGACATGGAATAATGCGCTTGGTGTCAAGATCACGTATATTTTTTTGTTTTGCTGATTTACAGAGCTCTCCTTTGAACTTGTGATAAATTCATTGAACGAAGTGAGGACACTTATTTCGATCATATTGGATTTTTTTTTAGATTTGACTTCAAGTGTTTTATGTTAAATTCAAATTAATTTGCTAAAAGAGGCAAATTACGCTCTCCAATAGGGAAATTGTAGGAACGATGTCATTGACTTGTAGTTCCAAAAGTGGATTGTTTCTTTTTTGATTTTTTGACGCTATTTAAGTAATTTATTGTTAAGGTATTTCAAATACGGGATCTGATGATTGGTATCTTTGGTCAAGAGATATTATGTTATGTTACCTTTTGCTTCGCTGTATACTTATATATTACCGTTTTTAACTTGAACTTTAAAGTACGGGTTTTTGTGCTCAACAGATAAGATAAATGAACAAAGCGGCAACTTCTCTCGCGCGACATCTCATTGCGAAGGAGTTCCAGTCGATGTCCTTCAACTCTAAATTATTCGACGCCTCAAGTCTCTCCGTTCTAGCGTGCACTCAAAACGGATCCATCGATGCAGTATTCAAACCACAAGCACATCATCTAAACATTAAGAAAGCAGGGCAGGCAGATGTCTAGTTTCCCCGTCCGAAGATAATTTCAAGATAAAAAAGACTTTTTTGAGCTATTTTTTGAAGTTTTCTTTTTTTTTGTGGTTCACGAATTTAGAACTCCTGATGATGTTGACCCGCTTAATAAAAAAGCACGATAGAGAAACAAGCAATGCGGTTTTTTTTTAAGTTTAGCAAGCTTTTGTACATCTAAATGTATTTTTTTCGTTACCAAAAGCATTTTCGAATTTTGATGCAACAAGCGAAATCTATTTCCTTTTTTTAATGAAACCTCTTTTGATCCCCAGACAAGCTCTTTTTTGTTATTCTTGCAACTCTTCGTATTTGTACTTTACTTGCCTTTGCAAAAGCAAGTGTCTTGTAATGAAGAACTAGACTTTTCCCCGTCAACAACTTTTCTTACACTTTTTTGTGAGAAATTGATGTTGCTTTATTGTCCAACCTTAGCAACTTCCAGGCACCCTTACCCACTTAGTCTGGAGGTAATCCATCCAATGGCTTGGAGCCCGAGTCCCGTTTGTACCTTGATTTTTTTTCAGTGAATAAGTACCCTTGCGATAAACAAGGGTATTGTAATCTGGTACTGGACTTTTTTTCCCGTAAACAACTTTTTGCACAGGACTCATCGACTCTTGGTTGTACCTTGGTTCATTACGAATTCAATTTTCTTGCTATATTCTGCAAACTTAGCCTAGAGATAACGAATACACCTGGGAAGGCAAAGGTCCTTGGTTCGAATCTGACCAGGACCTGTTTTTTTTCAAATGGTAGAAGTTCGGGTTCAAAAAAATTCGGTTTTTTGTCAGCTTGTGTTTTGTCGGCTTCCTTGCCAGATCTAAGAATCGTTTGTTTTTGATACAAACAAATTGTTTCTAAGCTAACTCGCAAATGAAAGTGTTCACTTATTTTGTTACTATAATCACGACTGAAGCATTGGACATTTTAAAGCTTATGTTCAATTTTTTTTATTTTTGGCTAGTGTTTGCGATTTATTAAGCGTCCGTTAGCGCGTGAGACTCATATTATCTAGGTTGCAGATCGAATCCGAGACGTAGCAGAATTTTTATCAATTTGAGGCTTATTTCTACTTTTCCTGATTGAACTTTTTTGAGCTGCTTTTTGTCGTGTGCTCGCCAGTGTTTGCGAAGATTCGCCTCTGTGTTTAATCCTAAACTTAATATATCGCAAGTTGTGCGAAACTCAGTTTCACTTCTGTGTATTGAATTTTCCCGGCAAAAATTGAATGGTTTGACTATTGTATGTCGACTTATGATTTGTCGGCTTAGTTTCTCTTGCGCTTTGAGCAGTTCTCATGTTAGTTTCAAGTGCCGTTGATTAACTCGTGTAATTCTTAAATTTGCTAATTCTGACTGCTATTGTTTCTCTTTTTTATTTTTTACGCTTATAAGTTTTATTCGGCCTAAATCTTAAAGGGAAAAATGGTTGTTATAACTTTGATTAAATCAGATCGCTTTATTTATAAAAGTTGAAAATCAAACAATTTTTTCACTCAAAAATATTTATGACGATTTCTTTTCAATTTTTTTCCGATGAAATATAATTTGGCGGACTTTCGTTTGTGTGCTTAAGTCTTGCCGGCTTAGTTGCCACTTCGGAAAATTTGCTTGTGCTATAAGCAACTTTCATTGTAGTTGCACTTATTGTTCACTGTAGTTTCAGAAGCACTTGCAATGGTTTTAAATCGTTTTGTTTTCGGCTCTACTTGTGTCTGCTCAAAGATTGTCGTCTTGGTTTTTCTGTTGCTAATTTAAAATTCAAATGTCTGACATCTTTGCCAGACATTTGAAAATGAAATTATTCCGGGACTTACGAAAACTTCCGTTTTGGTAGACCTAATTTTGTTCTCAACTTTTTCATGTTTTTTATCTTGTGTTTTTTATGTTTTTGTTGTATCACAAGTGATGCAAATCTCCGCTTCGACTTTGTGTTGATAGTTCTTTTAGCGGCAATTCAAGTGCGCTAGCATTTCATCGTTTTGCCAACCATTTTCGTGATCATGGGCAGCAGTTTTTAAATAACAATCTATTATCTATCTATCTATTATATATTTAAATGCGGGCTTCACTATCTCGCCATGTTTAAGCTTTTTCAACGTATTTTTTTGCATGTTTAAGCTATATCGTATATTGCAATGGTTAAGATTTTTTTCGATTTTCCAATTTGATTTTAGTGGTTATTTTACCGAGTTTAAATTAAGCAGCCCAATATCGAATTAGGGGTTGCGAATTTGGCCTCCAATTTTGAATGCCCGAATCATTTTTAGTTAACGAGATAAGACGATTTTTGAGATCTTTTCAAAAATTTTCAGAAAACTTATATTAATTTTTTTTTTCGCAAAATCTGAAATTCTCAACCCTGTAGCTGGGTCCTGTCAGAGTAATCTCAAAGATTGCGGATCTTGCCTCCAAATATTAATTATTTTTCAAAATTTGAAATTCCCAACTCTATAGTTCGGTGTGGTCAGGGTACTCTAAAGAGTTGCAAATCTTGCCACATGCGACTGCTAAACGCGACTGCTCAAATGCTTTTCGTTTCCGAGATGTGACGTTTTTCGATTTTTTCAAAATTTCTCAAAGAACTTATCTACAAAGAAATTCTACAAATTCTAATTCTACTAATTCGAAAATTTGAAACTACTAACTTGATGAAGATACAAGCTTATTGTCAGCGTACAGCCAGGCGTCTCAATTCTTGCCTCTTAATATGAATGCTCAAATCCTTTTAGTTTCCGAGATAAGACGTTTTTTTTCCGGGAATCTTAGGTTTAAAAAAATTCACAACATTTTGGATTCCTAACCCTGTAGTAAGTTCCTGTCAGAGCACTCTCAAGGATTGCGAATCTTGCCTCCAAATATGACTGCTCAACTCTTTGTAGTTTTCGAGATATGACGTTTTTTGTGATTTTTTCAAAAAAAATTTCAGAAAACTTATGTTAATTTTTTTTTCGCAAAATCTGAAATTCCAAACCCTGTAGCTGGATACTGTCAGAGTAATCTCAAAGATTGCGGATCTTGCCTCCAAATATGACTGCTCAATTCTTTGTAGTTTTCGAGATATGACGTTTTTTGTGATTTTCTCAAAATTTTTCAGAAAACTTAACATCTTATTAGTTTTTAAAAACCTGAAATTCCCAACCCTGTAGTTAGGTCCTTTCGAAGTACTCTCAAAGATTGCGAATCTTGCCTCCAAGTATGACTGCTCAATTCTTTGTAGTTTTCGAGATATGACGTTTTTTCGCGATTTTTTCAAAATTTTTCAGAAAACTTGAATTTTTTTTCTTTTAAATTCTGAAATTCCCAACCCTGTAGTAAGGTCCTGTCAGAGTACTCTGAAGGATTGCGAATCTTGCCTCCAAATATGACTGCTCAATTCTTTGTAGTTATCGAGATGTGACGTTTTTTGGGATTTTTTCTAAATTTTCAGAAAACTTATATTAATTTTTTTTTCGCAAAATCTGAAATTCCCAACCCTGTAGCTGGGTCCTGTCAGAGTAATCTCAAAGATTGCGGATCTTGCCTCCAAATATTAATTATTTTTCAAAATTTGAAATTCCCAACTATAGTTCGGTGTTGTCTGGGTACTCTAAAGAGTTGCAAATCTTGCCACATGCGACTGCTAAACGCGACTGCTCAAATGCTTTTCGTTTCCGAGATGTGACGTTTTTCGATTTTTTCAAAATTTCTCGAAGAACTTATCTACAAAGAAATTCTACAAATTCTAATTCTACTAATTCGAAAATTTGAAACTACTAACTTGATGAAGATACAACCTTATTGTCAGCGTACACCCAGGCGTCTCAATTCTTGCCTCTTAATATGAATGCTCAAATCCTTTTAGTTTCCGAGATAAGACGTTTTTTTTCCGGGAATCTTAGGTTTAAAAAAATTCACAACATTTTGGATTCCTAACCCTATAGTAGGGTGCTCTCAGGGACTCTCAGTGGTTGCAAATCTGGCTTCCAAATTTCTCCAGAGGCCCATTAAGTTTTCGAGGTGACGCTTTTAAAATGGGAATATAAAAAAATTTAAAAGTTCGAAATTACCAACCCTGTAATTGGGTGCAGTCAGAGTACACTAAAAGTTTGCAGATGTTGTTTCCAATATATGCGGTTTTTCATGAGTTGTCGAAAAATTTCGAAGCACCGAAGGTGCGTTAATTGCTAGTTTTATATATTGGCGCAACGCGGCGTAGGTACTTTTGTAATAAATAAGGAGCTAGTCCTTTAACCAAAAGGGAACGACCTTAAAAGCACATGGTTATCATCATCATCATCATCACATATGTTATTTCGACACCAATTTCTTGAATTCAAAGGTGTTTGAGTTTAATTAAAAACCAGTTTTGTCGTATAAATAATCAGTCGCTCTGCTAAAGATGAGTTCGTTTCTGTCGATAGCCGTACCCACTCTAAAATGAGCTGGGATTTAAACAGAAAATGTTCTTTGAAGATGGTTAAAAATCGGACCCGCTCTAAAATGAGCTGGGGTTACGTGAAAAATTCAACCTCCATTCACTCTGAACTTTCGTTGATATGTATACAGTGCTGATAAAACTTATCCGGACAAAACTTAAAATTTGAACGTTTTTATTTGCAAATTATCTTAAAATTAGACGAAAAGCTCAAAAAGCAAAAGTTGCTTAAATTTTCTCCAGAATTATTATGATAATTTATTTTGCGAATTTCCTTACCAATATTCTACATTTTTATTATAGTCTGGTAATAGGTTCGATCAAATTCAAGGAATCTTTTTCAGTTTTGCGCCTGAAACTATTTAATTGGAGCAGGCTAAAAGCTCGCTAGTCGTTAAAGTGTTTGATTGAGCCTTTTCGCTCCACTGACTGTATCTTGGTGAGTAACGTTTGTTTGCTCCAAGATTGACGCTTTCCATTTACCTTTTTGCGGGCTTTAGCAGCTTGTATCATTAATGCCAGAAAGCCCAGACCAAATCTTGAGGGTTCTTCCGCGCAGGTGTTTCGCTTTATCCGAAAAGCAGTTTTGTCAATTTGAACATCCTGATTTGAATCCCTAGTTTTCAAGCAATTGTTGAGCAAAGTTTTCTAGTGAACTGCCAAAGGACTCGATAATTGATGTTCAGGCTACACCAGTCTGAAATCCCATGCTGTTTTTTTGGCATCTGAATGCTCCATAGATTTTTTAAAAAGTATGGTAGCACAGGGCGAAAAACAGAATGAGTTATAAATGTTGCAAAACGTGAAATTTTCTGCAATAAAGATTGCCATTTCATAAATTGCAATAAATATTGCCAATTTCGTTTTAAGGAACAACGTTTTCTAGGCTCACATCGCTTGAGTTCAACATCTACAATGGTCTTAAAAGACAGGTTTTGACAGTTACAACATTAAATTTTTGTGACTATTTTTTTATTTTCAATGTCTTTTGGTGATCCCATGCAGATGAGGTAAAAACTTAATTATAGGGCCTACTGTTTTTCTAGTTACTTTTTATAAGGATTTGTCGCTTGTTGTTGCAGGCTAAAAGCGGAGCAATTTGAAAATTGACCAGGAGCGAGTAACCTGAAATTGTTTTTCAGTTCAAACCTTCAGATTATGAACCCCTGATAATGAAACCTTTTTTAAAACACACTAAATAATTATTAATGGAATTGAAGAATCTTCGGTAAACTTGAGTCGCAGTATCAACAAATTCAGACCAATTTTTCCCGACATCGAGAAATTTTTTTAAAATTTTTTATGGGGAACAGAATACCGACTAAATACGCTTAAATATGTTACCATTTTTAAACACTTCGAGCTTTCTTTGCAAGGCTGGAGAAGGCTAGAGTACGCCATAGGTCCTGTCTTATCATTTCGTGAAATTGTCGAAACGAAGGTGTGTTCGGTGATTTTCTAATATACATGATTTGTTGCTGTTTTTGCATAATTTTCTGCAAGTTTGCTCAATTATAAAATGGTCAGGGAAGCCATACTAATGCGTGGCATAATGCAGTGGCTGGAGGTGTAATAGCTAGTCTGGCTGATTTTCTAACAACTATTTCAACTGAGGTGGCAACTTCGAAGGAATTCAAAGAAGATGTAGGAATGCGTGGAGTGTCCATAGATTTGACCACGCAATACTTCCGCGCTATCGAATTGCCAAATGAAGTTATAGTTCAATCCGTTTTGAGGAAGCTTGGGAAAAAATTGGTTTTTCTAGATTGCGATTTTGAGTGCAAACATACCGGAAAAAGTTTGGCTAAAGTAACTCATGTTAAGTATCTGTTATAGATTTTTCGATTGCAGGTAACTTATAATTTACATTTATTTTTCGTCTGCCATTTTTGAGCATTCATCTTTATAGATTTTCGATGTGACCTTTGAAAAATAGCGAAATTACCCAATTAATGTTATTGAAACCGGTTACATGTTTTTGACTTTCAGATTTAGTTGATTGATAAGCGTGATGCCAGCTGCACCCGGGCGTTCATCTAAATCTGGCAGCAGCAGCAAGCCGCCGAAGCCATCGGCAACAACTACATCTAGTCACGAGTCGAACAGAACTTCGTCAAAGCGGGACTCTTCGTCTTCAAAGAAACGAGCAGAAACATGGACCGAAAACGAGTTACTAGAGGAGTTGAATTCTACAGGAAAGAAGTCTTTATCGAAGAGTAGTAGAGAAAGTGGAAAAGACAATAGATCACGTGACGAAGGCGGGCGTGATCGGAAGAAACGAGACGAAATGGCAGAAGAAAGAGCAGAGCGGAAACGTCGTGAAAAACAAGAATCGGAAAATGGACAGCGAGTAAGCGAGTCTAAAAATCGAAATCGCGATGGCCGAGAGAGTTCGGGAAAAGGAAGTCGCTCGAAAGAACCAACAGAAACGCCTGAAGAAAGATCCGAAAGGAAGCGGAGAGAGAAAGAAAAAGAAAAGGAGAAATCTCGTCATGAGAATGGCAACGGAGATGGGTCACGTAATAAGAGCGAAAGCAGTACCCGGAAACGTCCGGATGAAACTCCTGAAGAGCGAGCAGAGAGGAAGAAACGGGAACGCGAAGAGCGAGAAGTGAGATCGAGTAACGCTGAAGGAAAAGAGAAGCGACGTGAAACTTCTGAAGAGCGAGCTGAACGAAAGAGGCGCGAGCGTGAAGGGAAAAGTAGTTCACATAAAGAGGAAACTCCTGAAGAGCGGCACGAACGAAAGAAACGAGAAAGGGCCGAACGAAAAGCACGGGAAGAGGCGGAGGAAAAGGGGAAAAAGGACGAAGATGGTGAGCGTAGCGAACATCGACGACGCCGGAAACATGACGAGACACCAGAAGAACGGGCAGAGAGAAAAGCGAGAGAGCGAAAAGAAAAGGAACAGAGAGATGAAGAAACGGAAAAGGTTAGGGATGATGTAAAGGGTATATCGAATGGTAAATATGGAGTCACTAACAGCCAGGAAAATGAAGGCGAGGATGAATATTTGGACGATTATGCTGATGATTTTGAGGAATATAACTACGAAGATGATTTCGACCAGGACGAAAGTCGAGAATCTTTGGGAAAAGAAGAACAAAAGCCGGATGAATCATGGAATGAAAATGACGACAACAATGTTGGCGAAGACGACAGAAATGAACATAGTGTTACACATCAACAGAATCGTCGACTTGCAGAGCCTAAAGAAGAAGTTAAAAAAGACTACAGTTCTACATTTTCCGTGCAAGGATACGGGCCTCAACTTTCTCACGGGAAAAGATTTGCGATAGCTGAAATCTTTAAGCAACGAAGTTTTGCTCTATTAAACAGAATAGAACTGGACTATTATTCGTCGTCTATGTTTGATCTAAACCCACTTTCTGAGTATGAAATGTTTATGAGGAAGTTTGGATACTCGGATACGACTCAAGTGGCATGTCAAACGAGAGATGACAACGTCGAGGTCGAAGTTCAGACAGAGCCACCCGAGAGATGCGAGTCTTGGACTCAGTATCCGACAGGCAGTAGGCGAGTGGCGAGCAAAACGACAGACGCCGAGAGCTCTTCGGATAGTCTGAGCTTCTCAACTGAGCCGAGTTCAATATCTACTTCAACTGAGTCCTCAGATTTGAAAGTGACTGATTTTTCACTTGTTTCGGATACCAGAAAGCTGAATCAGTTTCTTATGAAGTCCTCGAAGCTAGTCAGTTCAGTTCTCGGATCCAAAGAGACATTGGGTCAAGCTGGAAAAGCGAAAAGTTATTTCGAAATTGCGGACACTTTTTCAAACATGATTATATCGCAGAGCGAGCCTTTTCTGACCAACAGAGATGTAGTTTCGATGTCAAACAATGATTTCAAAGTGGTTGTTTGCTTGAGGAAAAACAAAAACGAAAGTGCGTTTGCGGAAAATGGTTTGATTTGTGTTTACAGCAATGCTTCGTTGAAGAAACCGACTCATTATTTGGCTTGTTTCTCGGAATTATCGACGTGTTTTATTACCAAAAATCCAAACATTGCCGTCGTTTTTGGAGGCGCGGTAGATGGTGTTATTTACATGTGGGACCTAAATAAAGGAGACCCTATCAAAAAGGTAATCACCGTTAGTCCAACGTGCTCTGTTGAAGTCATATACGAGTCATTCTCTACAGCGCTTTCGTTGAGAAACTGCTCACCGGAAGGTTCTCACAAAAGTGCGGTCAGGCAGTTGATTTGTCCGGAAATAGACGAGTCATTTTCGAGTTCAAGACGCCAATTTCAAATATCTTCAGTTGACGAGACGGGAGTTGTGATGTTTTGGACATATCACATGTCGGAAAACGACCAGGAGCTCACATTGCTCCCTGGTAGTGCCTCGAAGTTTTCGATGTCGCATCATTTTGACATGTGCCAAAATGGAGAGATCTCCGGATTCGATGCTGGAATGCTTAACTGGCTGGCGTTTCACCCAAACCATCCCTCGAAAGCGTTTTTAGCTACGTCCAATAGTGCAATACTTCAAATGGATTGCTTCAACGAAGCTTTGCTCCCCAAAATGTACCGACCCAAAAGCGGATCTCAAGTATCTCAAATCCTGTTCTGTCCAATAAAATTGGTAGATCTTTTTGTGGCTTGTATGGACGACGGAACCATAAGTCTATTCACACTTGCGAAGCAACATCCTATCGCGTCATTCACAGGAGCTGCTGTTGAGACCGGTTGTGTTGATTGTATATGGGATCCCAACTTCCCAATGGTTCTTTTTGTCCTCACCAAAACTTCAGTTCTAGTTGTGGACGTGACAAATATCTCCCACGGATCGTTTGCAGAGTGTAAACTTCGTGACTATGCTTCGGATCCAATTGGTCTTGGCCTCTGGCGCAACTCGGCCACCAAGCGTTTCGTTTTGACTGTGGCGTACAAAAGCGGAGATTTTGAGTTCCATGACTTGTTGAATAACTTCATGAAGATCCAATCTGCCGAGGAGCAAAATAGAGTGTTGAGGTATTTCGTGGAAAGAGAATTGATGCCGAAAATATAAATGTTAGTCATACCTCGGATAGTAATCCATTTAATGGAGCGCTTAATTGGTTTTTACAGTTTTTGAGGAACGGTGTTAGCTGGGGCGCCAAATCCAGCGAAACTTAAGCACTGAACAGTTCATGCACTGAACTCTAAGCAGTTCAAGGGAATTAAACGTTCGTTTTTGAAATACCCTATGGGGCTGTTACCTATTTCAACACTCTTTAAGCATCAGAGTGATTTACGATGTCAAGACTTAGGTAGTTTTTCTTCTAAATGTCGTAATAGAAATAAGTCGAGCTTTTTCCCCTCGCAATAAAGACAGTTTTATGTTTTCTCCAGCGGTTTTACAATAGTAATTATTGAAGTCAAATATGTTTTAACTCGGAAAATTATACGCAGCTGTTATTATTGTTCCGAGCTGTGGCTTGGATTAACTGTGAAGTTTTTTTTCGACGTATGGGTTCAAAGAAAGCTCGTATTGGTTCAAATGTGGTATCATGAAAAGTCTTATTGGTCGGGATTTGGATTTATAAAATGGTTAAAAATGTGATTAAAATTCAATGTTCTTGAAACAAGCAAAAGCACTATCTTTTTTTTCCAACCTAAGTCGCAAATATTGTTGCGATAAAATGTGTTCATTTTGAAAGCGTTTGTTTTGATCAATAACCAGGTATTAAGTACAGCCAATGCTAAGGACATTAACACAGACTATTATTGTTTCGGCTTTCGTAACGAAAGTAACGGAATTATTTTGCTCAAGGTAGTTTTTTTATTCAGACAAATTTCGGCTTTTTAAATAGCCATTTTTGACGGATTTTTTTAAAATATCATTCAGAAGATATATTATCCTGAGGTTAAATTTGGAAAGATATTTCATCTGTGATAATTTTTCGTAAAGTTATGCGAATTAAAAAATTGCCAATTTCGGGCAATTAACGCGCGAGTTATTTCGCGCTATTAACGCGTACGCGGAGATTTAATCCGTCTTAGAAATCGTTCCAAATTGGTTGAAGGAAGCTTATTTGCCATAATTGATTTGTTACTAGGAGCGAAGTTAATCAGTCTGTACTTTATATGGCTTGTGTGGGGGGATGATTTTCACAAAAAATCTCAAATAAGAAAAAAAGTTTTTTTATTACCTTTCATTTTTCATGTTATTACTGCTCCTTAGACGGTTCTATAAATTGAGGCATGTTAGTTGGTAAGTTTCTTTTTTTTTCAAATTGACTAGTACTGCTAATGCGTCATAATTGGCGTGCGTCACTTAAGAAATTTTGGTGGCAGGACAATCTACCCTATTCCAAACTACCCTATACCATTCTACCCTATGCCATTATACCCTACATACCAATCTACCCTATACCAATCTACCCTATACTAATCTGCCCTATATACCATAATGAGGTATCATAATGTAATCTTTCAAAGGCCTAATTAGAATCGGAAAGATACAGCACGTGTTAATTCATTTGAGTCTAAATTTTTGGACTCAATTTGAGTCTTTCACTTAAGGAAATTGTTCTGAGACTAAATCGCAATTAGAGCCTCAAAATCTGAAATTTATTTCAATTAACAAGTTTTAATCCCCAATTTTCAAAATCACGTACAAGAATGAAACCAAAACTACGTCATTATATCAATTTTGTTTGGAATAACATCTACTAAAATGAGTCAAATTTCTTGGGGTTTATCCCAACAGAATCGGCGAACGCTTGTAATCGGTGGCCACGAGTTTACGAAAAAACAGGAAACAAAGAATGGAAACATTCACTGGAAGTGTTCAAGATGGGGGTCCCATAAATGCAAAACGACAGCAATAACCAGAGAAAACTATCTTATTTCCTGTAGAAATGAGCACACGCACGAAGTATTTCCTGGTCGTTCGGATGCAAGGCTTCTCGTGCAGTAAATGAAACAGGACACAAAAATACAGCAAGTACCAGTCAACAGCATAATTATAGCAAACGGCCTGCAGTCTGTCTCCGAAGAAAAAGCAGTTCAATTAGCTCTTCCTTGCCGGTCGGCTATTAACCGGGCCCTCAATCGACAGAAGGTAAATGATAGACCCACGTTGCCTCCAATTGTCGACAGACATTTTGAAGTGCCAAAGCAACATGAGGATTTTTGCGTCTTCGATAGCGGCATTGAAGATCCAGAAAGGGTGTTGATTTTTGGAGATCGGGACAATATCCAGAGTTTGATATTACATCGAGATGTTTGGCTGTGTGATGGAACGTTCAAAGTTTGCCCGATTCAATTTTATCAACTCTACACCATCCACATTCAACTCGCTGGCTTTTACCCCCCCTGCATTTATGCACTGTTGCCCAACAAAACAGAACACACTTACAAAAAGCTACTGAAGGGGTTATCAGCCATCACCGAAAACACCGAGCCTCACCGCATTCTCCTCGATTTTGAACGTGCAGCACTGAACGCTTTCGCTAGTCACCATACCGGAGCGTTGCTGAAAGGCTGCTATTTTCATTTATGTCAAGCGTTCAACCGGAAAATAAACGAAGTGGGCCTGAAGCGACTACGAAACAAATCATGATCTCAATTTGTCATTGCGCTTAATTCCAGCTCTAAGTTTCGTACCAGTTGAAATGGTCAATGCTGCTTTTGACTTGGTCATTGAGGAAATCGAAAACGTGTCGGAAAAATTTGATCTTGACGACAATATCACTCAAAAACTTGATGAGGTAGCCTCATACTTTCAGCGCACCTACATTAAAGGCGAAACCATCGGAAGGAATTCTCGCGAACCTCTCTTCCCAGTAAACCTTTGGAAGCATTCCGAAGAAGCAGCTGCTGGGTTAATAAGGACAACAAATGCTGTAGAAGGCTGGCATCTTGGCGTTGCTACTCTCTTCAAAGGAAACCACCCATCCGTTCACACCTTTCTGGAACAAATAAAACTGGATGCTGCAAATCAGAAATTTAATATAATGAAAGCAATGGGAGGAAACAGCAACCCCAGTCGAAAGAAGTACAGGGAATTGAACGAGAAAGTGAAAAACATTTGCAACAATTTTAACAAAGATTCTATTTTAACCTATTTGTATTCTCTCGCGCAATTAAGTCATTCCTAACTCAGTTTATTTTAACAAACTTTGTGAATTTTTCAAAAATTCAATTTAATTTCTAAAAAAAATACACTTTTTGAGGTTCCCGTGGCCGTAGAGGGCTGAAATTTTGGGAGGTAATAGAGGCCAATACCAAAAGAATTTTACCTTCTCCCTCACCCCGCCCCCCAGTACCGCCTTGGCCTGGTACTGGGGGGTCTACCCCTCCTTTTGGGATCAACTAGTCAAACCCTCAGTAATCTTCGAATTTCATTCAAAATTTGACTTCTTGGTGATTTGATCTTTCGAGCTTTTGATTTTCATACACAGGCTTTATACGCTACGCTATGTCGACTTGATGTGATATGATTTTTGTTTGTTTAAGAAATAGCCGCAACGCATTTCTATAGCAACATTGGATTAAAATTTCTGTTCGTTCATGCTTTGAACTCATTTCCATTTTGAACGCGCAAGTTTTACGTTGCTTTGATATTTTGTTCACGTGCGTCAATTATTCTTTGATCATAATTAATGGTTCTTTGATTTGTTCGGAAATATACTGTTTCGGATTCTTCAAGAGGATGGGGTAAGTTTCAATTGCTTTAATTATAGGCTAGAATGGTATAGGGTAGATTGGTATAGGGTAGATTGGTATGTAGGATAGAATAGTATAGGGTAGATTAGCATAGGGTAGATTGGAATAGGGTAGAATGTCATGGAACCGAAATTTTATAGACTCAAAGTAATGCTCATTCAGTTTTTTGCAGTAGCGTTATCGGACATATTTTTGCTTGTGTATGCGAAGTGCAACTTCGCCTCTGTATATTCATGCTAAGCCGTGAAAATTTGTTTTTTTTTCTTCAAAAATTTTGGTTTTCGAAGTTTTTTAGCGCCTTCAGAATTTTTTTCGAAATCAAAGCTCTGGAAATTTTATTATTCGTTTTTTCTCTTTATCAATTTACTATATCTATCGATTATGTCAAAGGTCTAGACTTTCGATCAGATCAGCTGATGAATTCACAAAAAAAAACGACCCAGAATGTGATTAACTTTTTTATTCAAAATTTTATGATTGTTATTTGCTTATTTTCCTGTAGAGGTCTTCGAGGTGATTGTTGATGTAATTCAATCTTGAAGGGGCGCAAGCGTCGAATCCTTTTTTTGAAAACTTAAAACCTTCGAAAATCCCCTAGAGTTGTCCCTGCCTTTGCCATAATTTTTTTTATCAGTCACTACTGTAGTGTTACTTTTGGCTTGTTTTAGAGTTGTCTCAGACGTGCCAAGAATTCCAACAGCGACTGGAGCTGGTTAAATTATGAATACCTTCTGGAAGTAATAGCTAGTTTTCATCTTGTCTTCTAAATAACTGTGCTATATAATTCATGTGTCACCACCACCACCAGTGTCTGAATCGCATGATAGAAAAATAAAATGTTGGTTACAAGAACAAAAAATGAGATGAAAACTAAGTGCAAACGAATGTTGTTAATTTGGTGGAATGTAAATTTCTCTGTCCTAATATCGATGTAAATATGTAAATAATTAGTATAAATTGCAAAATCATATCATTTAGTTTTTAATGAAATAAAACGTGATATAGACTTTTCTTTCAAGTTTATAACTTGTTTAACAAAATTTGTTTAATCATTTGATAGCTTGAGTCATAATAGTTTCAAATTACTTAGCTTCTCCGCTCCAATTGGTCTATAGGTAATGACTTAGGCTTATGACGGATATGGTCATAAGTTGGAATCTGGCCTGGGACTGTATTTTAGGCGGAAAGTATCCACCATTTGTTGGTCTGCTAATGTTTTTTCGGCTTGATTGCCACGTCACGGATTTTTCTGTGCTGCCAGCAGTTTTCATTGTAATTCAGTACGTTTTTGATTTATTTCCTGTGTTTTTCATTCTATTTTTTTTGTAATTATTTTTTCGTTTTTTTTCAATCAACAGCTTTAATTGCCTTCCATTGTTTCTGACCATGTAGACTTTGTGACCTAAATTTGCGTCGTTTGTAAAAGAAAAGTTTCTCGTGGCACTATTTTTTTTTAGCTCAATCGTATTTTACCCAACTTTGTCGACTTAGTTTTGAAGCTCGATAAATCTTTCGAAATTTATTTAACGCCGGCGATTGTGATTCTGGACGTGTTTCTCAACTTGAAAATTTTTCGTTTATCAATTTTTTTTCCAACTTTGTGGCTTTATTTTTAAGTTGAAAAGCAAAGGCGTTTTCATTTGTATAGGTCATGATAATATCTTTTGTTTGTTTATGTTCAAGCTCAAACTTGGATTTTTGGTGGTTTGATTTTTCGAATTCAGTTCATTTTTTTTAAAAGTCAGGCAAACTCTAATATCCAACTGCAAAATTGTAAGTTGCTAGCTTCAAAATTGGATTTTATTTTTCTAAATTCCAAGTGATGTGAAAGATAAGTGATTATGAAACATATCATTTAAAAAAATCCAAGCTATTGAAATTGTTAATTGATGAGTTTTTCATTCGGTTAGTGTTGACGAAATATTCCTTGGTACTTACACTGAAGCCGGTTAGTTAGTCTTGTTGTTCCGAAAAAATGGGGAGGAACGTTTTTTCGGCTTTATTTTTTATACATTTTTTTTGTTTCCCGCAAAATCAGGTACCACCAAAAATCATCGGATTGAGTCGAATGATATATCATAATGAAAACCTTTCAGTCGTGATGTCAACGGCACTAAATTGTTCCGAAAAGTTTTCTCAGTGTTGAGAAAACAGGTTTTGAATTGGGATTTTATTTTTCTAAATTCCAAGTGATGTGAAAGATGAGTGATTCAGAAACATATCATTTAAAAAAATCCAAGCTATTAAAATTGTTAATTGATGAGTTTTTCATTCGATTAGTGTTGACGGAATATTCCTTTGAAATTTTTAAGGTGGTGGTTGTTTTTTTGGCTGTTTTTCTGAAATTGATATCTGAGGTCTTTTTTTATTTTGAATTATTTAATTCCTATTCATTTTGCTTTTCGCTGGCTTGCAATGTTACGCCTTCATTCTATCGCAAGTGATGCGAAGCTTCACTTCGCCTTTATTTTACGAATATGGTTGGAAGATTCTCCGCATCTTGCACAGCATCCGGCTATCCTTGTTATTTATTGCTTGTGCTGCAGGAAAGTTAGATTTTTTCTGACTTTTTCGATGTGGACTTTTTTGAAATGTATGCAGTTTAACTTATTATTTTATATTTTGGAGTCGATGAACGTAGTTCAGAATCTTATATAGGTCTTGGTGATTTTTTTTGTTATTTTTTGTTCATGAAAAGTGTTAAAATTTGTTCAGGCTAGTTTGATTTTTCGCTTTTCTGATTTCGTTTCAAGTTCAGTTCATTTTTTGTTAAAACAAAGGCAAATTCCACAATCGAACAGCAAACGTATAAAGGTCACAAAAAACGTAAGTGGAATTTAGTTTTCAGATTTCCCAGCGAAATAGAAATTTGACCTACTCATCCAGCTTTCTCGAATTGGGTCAATTTTTATCAAAAAAGTGCCAGTCATAAATTGTTCCAGAAATTCAAAGAGCTTTAAGGGCATCTATTTTTTCCTTTGAAATTCGAAAAACAGGTGTTTTTTAAATTTGTTTTCTTGCGTTCATTGATTCTTTTCCAACTATCTTTTGGCTATGTTTTTAATTGACTCCTGTTCTTTTGTAAAAAGAATAAATCGAGCTTTTGCGATTAAATTGGGTCATATAAATGAGTTACCAAATAGATCGTTCTTCTTGAAGTTGTCCATTTTTTAATCGTCGCCTTCCAAAATTTTGCTGGCCGTTCTAAAATTTAATCTAACAGATATCCAAAAATCTGATATAAACAGGAATAGCAGAGAGGCGGGTAGGCTTTGTCTTTGATAACCTATTTTTGCTTGGCGATTTTCTCGTAGCTCCCTGTTCTAATGTGTAAAAATTGTTTGCGTGTTTTCGATATTTTCGCTTTAGCGTTAATTTTCGGATAACTGACCCCCGCCGCAATTTTTAGATTACTTAAAGTGAAAAGTTTGGTTTTAATTTTATAATAGTATCCTGAAGTCCTACTAATGGATTGCCCACTCTTTTTGTTCATCTTCTATTTTCTTAGTAAAACTCGTTCATTGATACTTAGTACTTTTGGTTTGATATCTCAACAAGAATGCTCGTATCAGGGCGAAGCCCTGAATGTTCCGACTGCCTATTAAGGTTTATGGAGCAGTAATATCAATAAAAAATTAAAAGTAAAAACAAAATGAAATTTTTTTTTTTAATTTGAATTTTTTTTAATAAAAATCATCCCCCACATGCCATATAAAGAACAAAAGGATAGATTTCGTTGCTTGTAACAAATCAATTATGGCAAATAAGCGTCGTTAAATCAATTTGGAACGATTTCTAAGACGGATTAACTCTCTGCTTACGCGTTAATAGCGCGAAATATATCGCGCGTTAATTGTCCCAAAATGGCAATCTTTAAACCCCCATAGCTTTACGAAAAATGATCACAGGTGAAATATCTTTTCAAATTTAGGCTCAGGACAACAATGGTTTTCGAATGATGTTAAAAAATTCCGTCAAAAATGGCTAGTTAAAAAGTCGAAATTTGTCTGAAGAAAAAAAAACCCACCCCGAGCACCAATATTCCGTTACTTTCGTATCGAAAGTCGGAACAATAATGAAGCACTGTCAAAAATGAACGCGTCAATAAATTGCTCGTGCTGTAAATAAACCGCAGAGGAAACGTAGAAGTCACTTCCAATTTTAGTCTTTTGTTGCTCTTTTTCGCTCTTATTATTTGAACAAGCTTAAAACATTCTATACCATATCTGCGCATGATAGGTGTTTTTTTTGTCTATTAACTGAAGTCATTTTTTGTTCTAATGACTAGGAGGAGTAAGGAACTATTCAACTCATAGACATACTCAAGAGGTATAGTATAGATGACAAAACTTTGAAAAAAAACAATCTATAGATGAAAATTTTGAACTACAAAGATAGAGCATGAGTCATGCAGTTTTAAATAAAAAATTTGCGTGTTAATAGAAGCGTTTACTGCCTCTTGGATTTACGTTTTTTTTTAAATTTTATTTTAATATACTTATCTGATCAGTTACTGATACTTCGATTTACTGGCCACATCCAAAGTTTTCCTTATTAAATTGTCCAATCCATCTGTGTTTGGTCATACTTTTTTTTAAACTTGTAAAAAAACTGGGTACGCCGTTAGCTGGACTGGACTTGTATCTCTGAAAAAGGGACCAGAAAATAGTCTAAATATTTTCAAGAATCGATCGAAGCTACTTGGAATGATTGTTTCTTTTTTGCTTCTAAGCAAGATAAACGTTGTTAGACGTAAAATTCTGAACTTTTTCACAGGCTGGTTTTGTTTTGCCTGTAATGAGCGTAGTGAAGACTCTTAGATACGTCTTGCTGATTTTTTTGTTTTTTTTTTTCAGGAAAAAGTCTTAAAATATTGATGCACTTTGGTATAATGCACTTTTTGAGTTCAATTGAAATTAATCTGCTGAAAATGACGTAAATAGCACTCTCCAAATACGAACGTGGAAATAGCGCGAAAAAGCGTGAACAATTTCTAGTTTCGAAAGTGATTTTATTTTTAAGATTTCCCAGCGGAATAAAAACTTTACCCACTGATCTAATTTTTTCAAGTTGGGTTCATGTTATCAAAGAAGCGCCAATCATAAATCGTTCTAGAAATTTAAAGGTCATCTATTTTTGTTCCGACTTTCGATAAGAAAAGTAACGGAATATTTGTGCTCGGGGTGGGTTTTTTTTTTCTTCAGACAAATTTAGACTTTTTAACTAGCCATTTTTGACGGAATTTTTTTATATCATTCGAAAGGTATTGTTGTCTTGAGCTCAAATTTTAAAAGATATTTCACCTGTTTTTTGTAAAATTATGGGGGTTTAAAGATTGCCATTTTGGCCAATTTGGGACAATTAACGCGCGATATATTTCGCGCTATTAAAGCGTAAGCGGAGAGTTAATCCGTCTTAAAAATTGTTCCAAATTGGTTGAAAGAAGCTTGTTTGCCATAATTGATTCGTTACAAGCAGCGAAATCTATCCTTTTGTACTTTATATGGCGTGTGGGGGGATGATTTTCATAAAAAATAATTTAAATTTTAGAAAAAAAAATTTTCATTTTTCTTACATTTATTTTTTAATGTTATTACTGCTCCATAAACCGTAAAAGGCAGTCGGAACATTCAGGACTTCGCCCTGATACGAGCAGTCTTGTTTTCTTCGAAATTCGAAACTTGAGATTTTTTCGAGAAAGTCAGTGTTTTTTTTTTGCTTACTTGCGTTCATTACTCTTTTTCAATCTTCGATTGGCTGTTCTTTTTATCATCAAATTCCTAATGAATAAAGGAGAAATCTTTTAGTATAACTATAATTGTAACAAAAAAACCCTAAGCGACCTGTCGTTTCTTGATAAATTTTTTCATGACAATGTGCCTGTTTTTTTAGATTAATTTTTGGTTGTTGAGACGTATTCATTGGAAGATTGTTGCACAAACGCACTGATTGGTTTGCAAATTTGTAAAGAGCTGTCGTTACAAGAATTGACCCAAAAAGAGAACGTAAACAGTTGAAAACAGTGTAGAAAGCCAGACAAGACAAGAGATGGCAGTGGCGGTCGAGCAGTACGACTACTTGTTCAAGTTCCTTGTTATAGGTAAGTAAAGGGCAAATGCATTTTCAAATCATTCTTGTTAACATTTAAGTGTTCAAACTACCTTTTGTCTTTAATTGTGAAACCGATTATAAAATGGGTTTTAAAAAAGTGTGCTATGAAGTTTTCGTTGTTTTGGAAGAGCAGACTTGGTAATTTAAGTACAAAGTTGATAATCTTTTCAAAGATAAATGATTAAGTGGTAGTAAGAGCAAAATTTCAAACCACCAGTTTGGAATTGGATGTAATTTTTGCTGTGTATGGTGTAGGTAGTGCAGGTGTGGGGAAGTCATGTCTGCTGCACCAGTTCATAGAGAACAAATTCAAGGAGGAGTCCAGTCACACTATCGGAGTCGAGTTCGGATCCAAGGTCATCAACGTCTCTAACAAGAGTCTCAAGCTGCAGATATGGGACACTGCAGGACAAGAAAGATTCAGGTTGGTAACGCCACTCATATCTGGTTTAGTTGCTCTAGTTTCACTGGAAAGTGTTTAGAAAATATTTATGAATTTTTCATCAAAAAACTAAAGAAGCTCAGCCTTTTTAATTTCTTCGGCGAAAGTAATTTTTTGCAAACATAGTTTTGCTCAATACAATCATTGCACTTGGTGGCATGATGTTTGACAAATGTATACCAATACGTGTGACGAAAACGGAAGTATCGAAAATGACTATTATATTGCTAATTTTGGTTTGGTAAGAATTTGAAACCCGAAATCTTGTATACTTTCTCGTTTTGAAGTGTTTTACTTTTAGAAAATCTCTTGGTTATTGGGCTATAATTTCTGCTCTAAATATGCTTTATTTTTGGATGATTTTTTAAAGAGACGCTTTTCTCGTTCCTTTTTTGCCTTCGGTAAACGAAGCGTCCATCATTAACTAGTTACTGTGGTTATTACTTAACTCTTACTCGATAATATCGCATTTTCTGACTCTTTTTTAGTGCGGACCTTGTTCAGATGTTGCTTTTTTATTATTTGTATCTGATGCACTGTTTAAAGTTGCTTCGAGTTTTATTGCATCGTTTCATGGATTCTTTGGACATTCTTTGTAGAACTAGAGAAGCATTAAAAAACTTGCGCAACGTAGTCTTGGGTTCTAATCGCATTTATTAGTTTTTGTTGTGCTGATCATGAATTATCTGTGAATGCGTGCTCAGACCACTGGTAAAAGGCAACAACTGGGAAAATTTTATGGCCTGTTGTCTGGCGTCCCTTGAATGAATAATTTATTCCCAGACTTATATTTATTCAGATCTGTCACCCGCAGCTACTACAGAGGGGCCGCTGGAGCACTTCTAGTGTATGACATCGCATCCAGAGAGACATTCAATGCACTTCAGACGTGGCTGTCTGATGCCAGGACTCTGGCAAGTCCCAACATTGTCGTGCTTCTGGTTGGCAACAAGAAAGACCTGGAGGTCGAAAGGTGCTTATTATTACGCTTGCGCTAAGTCCTTACGCTTGCGCAAAGTCCTTACGCTTGCGAAAGGACTTTTTTTGAAGACTTGGCATCTGACTAGCATACACAAAGCTACTTGTAGAGTTTCTAATGGTGCAGGAAATTTTTTTCTGGATATTTTGGGCTTTTATAGACAAAAACGATTTTTAAATTTTTTTCCGGTTGATTTTCTTAGTCATTCATATTTGTATCGTAAGTAGTGCGAAGCTCAGCTTCGCCTCTGCGTGGAAAGTTATTTACTGATTTTCAGAAAGAGTATTAGTTATAAGACCGTATACTCCCCTGAGTGCCTGTATACTCCCCTAGAGTCTCTTTTTACTTGACCCCTCAATCAACCGCCTTCGAAAAAGTCTGAGGGTGATTATTTGACCCATATTTTTGATTTTTTTCCTTTTCTCAAAAAACCCCTCTACCGAATCTGATTTTTTGGTTTCAACGAATAGAGTGGTTTCGAAAAGCTCCATGCATGCGGCTATGCCCAATTTTATTTACACATTAAGTTATTGCCCTCGGAATAGTCAATTTATTTTTTATTTTTGACCGTTTTTTAAGGTATTGCCCTCGGAATAGTCAATTTATTTTTATTTTTGACCGTTTTTTAACTTTTTGAATATTCTCGAAAACTACCCTGCCAAATTTGAGACTTTGGGTTCAATTTAAAGGTGGGCAGATCATTTCCGACTACTCCCACATTTTCCTGGCACCAATAATTTCAGGCCCTCGGAATTGTCAGATTTTAGATTTTTGACCGTTTTTAATTTTTTTGAACGTTCTCGAAAACTACCCGGCTATATTTGAGATTTTTGGTTCAATTTAAAGAACGGGCTGTGGGTAGCTCAATTGCTAATGCGACACCAAAAGTTATGGTCCTCGGAAAAATCAAAAATTTTATTTTTGACCGTTTTTTTAAAAAAACAAAGTTTTTGACATTTCTCGAACTACCCTCCCAAATCGGAGATTTTGGATTCAATCGAAATTACAGGTTGAGTGAATCCTTTCTGCATAACCTTTCTGTATCCTTCTGAGATCTTGGATTCTGAAAAGTCTGCAAAGTCCAAGATCTGAAATCACATTTTTGTGCCCCATCAGTATAGCAATTTCATTCAATATCAAACACATACTTCCAGCTTTAGCTGGCTCCTAGTTGTTTTTTATCTGGACATAACAAAAATTTTTGTTCACCTAGTTTTTTTTCGACTGTTTTGATGTGTATTGTATCGCAAGTGGTGCTAATCTCTGTTTTAATTTGAATGGAGTTTTAATTCTGTTTTAAAAACGATTTTTATCTACAAGTAAAAGAACAACATACGAGCAGCTCTGCTCTTTACGGAGAACCGATTTGGGGTCTTTTATTTAAGAGCTACAATTCTGAGCCTGCTAATGTTGACTCACCCTCGAGCAACGAGCAGGGATCTATTTTGAATTAGGATGATAGCTTACAATATCTGGCCGCCTCTAAAAAAGTTAATCCAATCTTTCCCGTTAACAGCTCCATTATATTTATAATTATCGCTGTATTAATAAATATTGTTGTATTTATAATCATCGTTATATTTATGACCCCATTATATTTGTATTCACCGTTGCAATTAGCAAGAGTATTGTTACATGGGACTTATTTAAGCTTTTTCAACGTACTAATTTGGCATGTTTAACAAAAGAATTTTTTCACGCTTAAGCTATATCGTATATTGCAATGGTCAAGATTTGTTTTTTCGATTTTCCTGTTTGAAATGAGTGTTTACTTCACCAAGTTTGAAAGTAGCAACCTCATAATGAGATGCTGTCAGGGTTTCCCCGAATGTTGCGATTTCGGCCTCCATATATCAAAAAGCAATTCTTTTAGTTTACGAGATACGGCAATTTTCGAGATTTTTCATAAATTTCTAGAAAATTTTGATTTTTTTAAGTTTCTGAAAATTTGAAATTCGCAACCCTGTAGTTGGGGGATGTCAGGGTAGTCTCAGGGGTTGCGAATCTTGCCTTTAAATCTTACTTCTCAAATCCTTGTAGTTTTCGAGATATGACGTTTTTTTTAATGATTTTTTCAAGATTTTTAAAAGAACTTAGATTTAAATGATTTCAAAAAGTTTGAAGTTCCCACCTCTATAGTGAGGCTCTGTTAGGGTACTCCCAGGAGTTGTGAATTTTGTCTTCAAATATGACTGCTCAAATCCTTGTAGTTTTTGAGATCTGACGTTTTTTGTGATTTTTTTTTTAAAGTTTTCAGAGAACTTACATTTAATTTTATTTCTTCTAAATTTGAATTTCCCAACCGTTAAGTTTGGAGCTGTCAGAGTTTTCTCAAGGTCTCAGGTGTTGCGAATCTTGCCTCCAACTGTGACTGCTCAAGTCTTTGCAGTTTTTCAGATATGACGTTTTTTGTTATTTTTTCAAAAAAAGTTTCAGAAAACTTAAATTTATTTTTTTTCTTCAAATTTTGAAGTTTCTAACCCCCTGTTTTTCAAACTTTGATTTTACCAACCCTGTAACTCGTTGCTGTCAGATTACAATCACAGGATGCTGATTTTTTTCCAGTATGTACGGTTTTTTTTGAGTTTTTAAAAATTCGAAGCACCGGAGGTGCGTTACACGCTAGTTCAAATTTATTATAGCTCAATATTTTATCACATCATTTTTGCGGCTTTACGACCGTCTAACCTTAGGCTGTAGGGGTCCGAACGTCATCCGCCTCCTCAAGTTGGGACTGTCTAAGGTGAAATGGATGTGATTACCACTCTCTACGGTTGATCTTGTATTAAGTAGGACCGGGGGTTAAAAATTAAGAACAAAGTTTCGTCTAGGTTAGTCGGAAACCCCAAAGTCTTCAGACTAGTTGTTCTCCACGCTGAGAAAACTTAGTTAGGGCTTTGAAATGATACTAAGCTTGCTTTGAAGTAATCAAAATTGTTAAGATGAAAAATACAACCCGCGGAACATTAGTAATATCAATAGTGTTAAAGTTCAATTCATTTTTTTCGCCTGATTATATCTTCCATTTGATAATAAATTATCAAATGGCATGTTGCGCGTTAGTAGGGTGTAGTTATTAATTTCAACTTGTATTATTGTGTTTTGAAGGGAAGTGACGTTTCTGGAGGCGAGTCGTTTCGCCCAGGAGAACGACTTGATGTTCGTGGAGACGAGTGCTCTGTCGGGTGAGAATGTGGAGGAGGCGTTCCTCAAGTGTGCTCGCACCATCCTCTCCAAAATTGAGACGAACGAACTCGACCCCGACAAGGTCAGTAGCCCTTCTCATAAACTGCCATGCTATTTTTTCAGCCATACTATGGTCATCCAGACTGAGCTCAGCACTAGCTGTGAAAATACTTGTTTCCATATTTCAACCGAAGTTAACGCCAGATTGTTCCTAATACCATTCTGGGTTAACCCATATGAAAGAAGCTGGTTAAGCTGAAACACTCCAGTTCAGCTGGTAAAACTGTGTCAAAAGTCTTTAAACTGAAAATATGCTTTTTTTAGTCATTAAGTTGCTCAAGTTTACCAATAATGCCAAGAATTTGACATTAACCGTGATAGTTTTGTGAAGGTTCATCAATGGTGCGCAGTTTTGAGCTAAAAGCGCTTCTGAAATGATGGTCAAGAAACGTTTTTACATAATGCTTACACATGCGGTTATCAAATCGCGTCATATTGGTTCTGATAGTAATTATGGTGGCGGATGCTCAAAATTCTGAGCCTGAATTTTAGGAAGAAGTGCGTCAACTGTAGAATCGTATTCGAATGTATGATATGATACGTTTCAGGTGGGATCTGGTATCCAATATGGGGACTCTGCACTCAGAAGGGCCCACAGGAATGCAGTTCCCCAGCCGAACAGGCCCTCGGCCGCCGACTCCTGCTGCAGAGGCTTCTAAGCACAGTTCCATATCATATTGCAAGAACCATCACGATCCGGAAGAGCTGTACAACTAACTGCGTGAGATAGCTATTGTTACACGATCACTATAGACTTTATAAATCTTTATCGAAGCTTTTTTTTTTTCAGTACGTTCGCTTGAACTTGTTTTGCATTTGGATGCGATGGAATTATATGCTAAAGCTGTACATCGTGATGAAGTTATAAATGTCTTTACCTTGTCTTGTATCACGCCGTCATGCAATGAATCAGATCAATGAACTGTTATGCATCAAAAACTATGGTTGGATCTACTTTACAATTCCGTCGACGTAAGACGTAAACACCCCCCCCCCCCCACCTCTGTCTGCGCACCAGAGGGAGGAGACTACCAGTCATTCGTAAAAATCATAGTTTAATGCGTAGAAAGGAGTATTTTCATTTAAACAGGAGTTTCGGCAAATCATTTTTACTGCTAATAAATGGGATTCAATTATAACCGCTCGAAACTAAAAGAGCAGAAGAGCAGTGATTGTAAAGTGGATAAAACTTACTGTGAAATGATTTCGACGATGAACTTACGAACCTCAGATCAAATTCCAATTTCAAATCAAATGCAGTTTGAAGATATAAATAGATACATAGACTCAAATGAGCCTATCTCCATTATTTGCAATTCGTCAGCTGATTATTTCGTAGCCGAGTTTTGAAATTGGGAATTTGCGTTAAAATTTGGCGACTCTTAGAGTTGGAGATGAACAGGATATAATATTGATGTAGAATTTAGATTACATCTGCAGAATTTGGAATTCAATTGTAACAATAAGTGTAATTTTCATATTAGAAATATATTGCCTATCATGCATTGATTTTGTCGGCTTTGCATCTTTTTTGTTCTATTCTCAATATCATGAAAAAGCTGACAAATAGAATGTTGCAATTAATGTTTACTCTAATTTGGGTTCGAATTTTATTATTGATTTTTTTTGCTGAGTTCAAAATGCCTGTAAATTTTTGTATATACTTTCCTGTTGCTATTAAAGTACTATTTCATCCACCTCGTTTATTTAATTTAAGGATTAGAGTTCTTGTTTTGTCGATTCTTAAGAGTACCGAGACTCAGGATGAGAAAAGATTCGATTCTCGACTAGCTCAAGTGCAAATGAACGCAGTGAAGAGTTTACAGGCAAATGAACAGTTTTTTTGTTCTGCGAAAGTTTGTTCACGCTCATTTTTGATTTTTCGCGCTTACAATTTGTTCTTCTAAATTCAATTGAAACTCATTTGCGGAACGGAAAACAATTTTCCCGGGTCGAGGTGCTCACTTTATGTTTCTACTTTCAAAGTTGAGCACATGTCAGTTCTCGACCGAAAAAGCATAGTCGAGACAGGAGTTTGGGTCGAGCACGAATTTGAAACATACTTCGAGTACGGTCAAAACATACCTATTTCGACTCAAAACATACCTAAATTTTCTACTCAAATTGCAAACCAGTAGTCAAAAATCACAATAACAGTTAATTTTTACAAAAAACATTTAAATTCCACAAAACTGATCATTTCATGCTGTTAAAAAAGCATCATAAGATGCTACCCAAAAAGCATAAATTATAATGTTTTAATTTTGAATAATTCATGTTTGAAAGTCGAAACATACCCAAGTTCGGTCGAGCACTGTTGGAATATATCTTGCTTAGTTCGAGCACATTTTTTTCCGGGCGAGCGCCTTGGAAACAAACCTTGATTGGGTCGAGGACATTTGTTTCGGACGAGCACGTTCTAAATATACAAAATTTTGCACAAGATGGTCGAAAGATAGCGATTTTTGGTCGAGACGGTCGAAACATAAAGCGAGCACCTAGACTACGGGAACTTTTATTTATAAAAACTTCTAAAAACATGAAAAAATTTATTGAAAAGTATTGTTTATAAAATGGGTCTTTTATTAGAATGAATTGCGTTAATCTTATGTGATTGAAAAGTTATTTGAAACTATAAATTTAGGTTTTTTATTATACTGAAAATCCAGAGTTGAGAAAGTCATAACGTTCAAGGCCAAAAATATCGAGATAGAAGAAACAATATCTATTTATTTCATATTTATTGCTAGTTCCCTACGCAAAGATAAAGGTAATAGCAGTAGTAGGGGTGGCGGCGGGGTCAAAAACATGGAAGAGCTTTCATTTGTTCGAATTGTCTACCGATGTGCCTTCCATTTTTTTTTTACTTGAAGCACCTTCAATATTTTAGGCTCCTAAAGTCTGAAGGAGCAGCTTTTTTCGACTTGACATTTTTCCTTTTTGTGACTACAGTGCTAGTAGTACTGTGAAGAACGAAACTTTAATTAGTTCTTGACTTTTGCTTAGTTTGATTTTTGAATTAAATTTTCAAAGTAAGTTTTGTTAGTCCTTCTTACAAGCACATGTAAAAAAGTTTTTGCTTTTTTTTCAGAAAAAGTGAGTTTTAGGAACAGTTTTCATACACATTCAATTATGAAGTTCTGAACAACTAGGCGTTCAAAATGAATGAAAAGACCAGAAAACTTAATACAGGTAGTGCACACTGTTTTATTCAAAAATCAATTAAGGAAAGTGAAAAATCAAGCTATTTTCAATCAAATGAAAAAAGATTGTCGAAAAACAAAAAAACTTATTTTTAGGTGTTTTTAATGTAAATTCAAGTTGTTTTGCTGTTCAAAAATAAACTTTTTAGTGCTCAAATTTTCAAATTAGGTTGCGTCGTTCAACTAACACTGAAAAAACACCTTAACACTTTTTTTTTCATTTGAGAAAAAGGCAAAAAAGCTGAGCTTGCAAATGGGTTTTTTCCCTTGCTTTCACAATTTTATTTTTTCTCTTAAAATTTAATACACATTGATTAATTGTTTAGTAGCGTATCTTTCTGTAAAGACAGTGAAAAAAAAGAAGAAAGTAGAAAAACAAAATTGCGAGGTGTTTTTGATTGAATTGAAAGTGTTTTAGTAAATGCCAAAAATAATTCAGTGTTCGAGTCAATTGAAAACAGTACTGGACAATTTGTTTAAACTGTTTCGATTGGAACAACAAGAGAAAAAAATCGAGCAAAAATTATTTAAAAAAAAATTTTAAGTGAGATATTATATATCGATGAGAAATGATGTTGATTATCTAACTTTTACTCAGAGCCTTCCATATTTTCGAATTTTGCCGAGCTTAGTGCTAGAACATTCTCAAGATGACAAAAAAAACAAAACTAACAGCAAAACAATTGCAAATGACAATTTTTGGGCTGCCTTGTACTTGTTTCATTTGTTTAAATTGACATTTTTGCAATTTTTCCTCCACATCCAGTCATTAAACCAGTAAAGAGCCAGTTTTATTTTATTTTTCATAACAAACTGAAAGAGTAATTTAAAAACTCTCCAACAAATAAAAATCACCTGCAAATTGGTTTCAGGCCTAAATGAGTGATAAAAACGATGAAATAGCCGTGATTAATTTGAACCAAATTTTTAATAAATTTGGTGCTAATCAAAATTTTACTTCAACAAGAAACCAGTTTGAAACAATTGAATTTTTTTAGTACCTTGAGTTCTAGATTTGTAGTTAGAATAGGAATAACGGACTGCTTTTGCTATGATTTCAAATTTTACTTGATCGACCTCGTTTTTCATTATAGCGCCGCGCCGTCCATATTTTAGACTTTTCTGTTGATTGTGTTAAAATTCGAAATATGTTTTTTTTTCAAAAACTTGCAGCTGCGGTAATGTTTTAAAGTTCAAATGAGCCCACTTGCCATTTTTTATTTTAAAAAGAAATTTTCAGATACTAGATTTTCCAGCTGGACGAAAATCAATTTGCTTTTATTCGACTTACGATACGAAATCATAACCGTTCAAAGCTCATTGAAGTACTAGTTATTAATATTCGTAGGTCCGGTATTCAAAACTTTTAATAATCATAAATGATGCCTACAATGAGTTTGGATGAAAAATATGCATAATTGTGAAACAATTTTGGCACTAATTTGAGGTTCTGGTCTTTCTCAACTTTCTCAACTTCAAATTATCATTTTTCGCTCATTTAAAATCATTACCGAGTTTTATTTATATCAGACTGTTGCTCAGTATAGCCAAAAAGATGAAACCTGCCTAGAAAAAGATTTTTGATGATTTTTTGAAAAACAACCAAAAAAAATAGTGTTTTCGGAAAAAATGTTTTTGCTGTTTTTTTTTCGAGCCGTTTTATTTTTTTTTTCAACCAGAGTCAAAACAATCATCGAAATACACTGTTGTGGAAGTTTTCTATACAAGAAAACCAATTGCGGTCCAAAAACAGTTTTTCACCAAATAATTACATATTTTCGACTCAGTGGCGCTTGTAGTACTAGGAGGTAAGGTAAAAAAATTATAAAGTTGGAATATTTTAAATATTATATTTCAATTTATATCTCATAAGTATCTCAGCTGTTGTGCGCACCTACTCACTCCTGGACTTGACACCCGTGTTTGCAGGTATTTTTTCTTCTGCTCAAAACCTCCTGCACCTGAGATCCAAATATTCAGTTTTCTTTTCACTCAACTATTCAGACACCTCCTTTACTCGCTTCCGCCTTTCTCACCACTGCCACTTGCCCAATTTATAGGCAACAAATATAGTTTCTTAGATTTATATTGTGGATATCCTAAGTGATTTAAACGTTTAAACTTTCATCTTGTTTGACGAAAACGAAAACTATTATCCTGTTTTCTACTCTTTCACGTTAGTATGAAACCATGATCCTTTAACAACTGATCCATTTCATCTCGATTTACACTTTGTTATACAAAATCTTGGTTGTACCCAGGCTGAGGTGCTCGACTCATGATTCGACCGTCACAGTCAAACGGACTCCAATTTTCGTCGCAAACTAAGACAGTCGAACGAACACTATAGTCGAATCAAGGGTCGAACAGGGTCGAATCATGAGTCAAACAGGGTCAATAGAGTCGAACAAGGTCTAATCATGAGTCGAAGAGGATAAAAAGAAAACGAATTTCTCAAACGAAAAAAAAACTTTCTAAAATCTTTCTGGGATGCATGATTCAACGCTTCCGTCAATTTGACAATTAATCGCGATTTTGTATAAAAGAGTAGACTTCAATTTTAAAACAAAATTCAATTTTTTTTCGTAAAAACCATTTTTTGTTAATACTGCAAGTTTCGACCGTTTAATTCAAACTAATTCTTCCAAAAAGGTTCTGCTACCCCTTAATTGGACTGACAACTACACTATATTGCCAAAAAGACTCATACAGACCTAAGTTTCAGGTTTTTTTAAAAAAAAAAACTGCAACTTGACGGAAAAAATCCAATTTATTTTACCGAGAAGTGAACTAAAAACCAACAGCAGCACCTTTCGACTTCATAACTTAAATTTCTCTCGTATGGATAGATTTATACAGTTTTTGACAAAATCAAAAGAGGTGGATTTTCTAGCGTTTTTGATGCTTTCTTCAAATTTTTCCTTGGTTAGGGTCATTCTAGTCATTCGTTTCTTCATCAACGCCCACAAATTCTCTATGATATTTAGATCAGGGCTGTATGGGGGCCATTCGACGGTCTGAATATAATTTTCGGCTAAATAATCTCTTATGATTTCTGCTCTATGAACAGGGCAATTGTCTTCCATGAGCTTCCAGCCAAATTTAGCATAATCCTTTTACAACTTTTGGTCAAGCACATCCCTATAAGCTTTAGCGTTGTCTGGCAGTGCACATTTTACTAATCCAAAACTACCATCAGGTGTAATGAACCCCCAAAACATAACAGAAAAACGGGAAGAAATCTTCAAAACAGTACACTGTGGCTTGTAACGCTCACCACGTTGACACCAAACTCGAATACGGCCGTCTGTGTTCAGGGCAAATCGGACTTCGTCTGAGAAAAAAACAGACTGCATAAAACTTGGACTTGTACCCCAAAAACGGCAGTTCTTCTTCCGTAAAGCACTGTTCTTCTTGCCAAAGTTTAGTTTCAGAGCTGCGGATCTGCTCCAATTTTTTTTTTTTCAAAATACGTTCGACCGTAGTTGCTGAGATGGTTTTCGTACTGAAGCAGTTATAATCCGACTGTAGTAACTTAATAGATATTTTTTGTCTCCTTTCCTTATATTTCTGACCAAAAGTCTTTCTTCTTTTCCTCTAATTTTTGATTTTCTCCCACATCTAGAAAACCCAGAGAAGGTAGGATCTTTAAGATAAGCTTCGTAAACACTGTACGCAGTTTGTCGGTTTACTTTCAGCGTATTTTCCGAAAGTCGAACCTTGTTGTTGTAAGTCAACAATTTTAAACTTCGTTTCTAAAGTCAACGTGTTGCGTTTAGCCATGTTTCTGAACTAACTGAATAAATCCCGCAAAAACGCACAAAAATTTGAATACTTTTCACCTTAAAAAGTACGGGCCTCACATTTTTGTTCAATTCCTAAATGAGATTAATAATATTTCGTTGACAATTTAAGAAAAATGCCTGTATGAGTCTTTTTGGTGAGATACTGTAGACTGGGGGAGGGGCGTTGGATACATCTATTTTCCGGGTGGATTAAAGACATTTACTCGTAACGAGTTATCAAATTTTTCTAACTGGGAGCGGTCATAGTTAATTAAGACTCATGCTAAGTACATGCAAGCAGTGGTGGATCTAGAATTTCCAAAGGGGGCGGATTTTCAAAACATTTTTGAAAGTTTTGTCGACTTTTATTAGGTCGATCAAATTGATTTTTCAAGCTCTCCCGAAGCACTGTTTTGTCCCTATTTTGGCCAAGTTTTCTGCGCCGCAGGCAAAACTTTGAAAAAAAAACCAGGCTAAAAAGGGCGTTTTTAGGCACTTTTTGGAAAATTTTGACCAAAAAGTTGCATTTTTTTCGGCGCGCGCTCGCCCCTCAAAATTAGCATATATTGTCGCCGAATGCGCCTTTAGAAAATTTGAAAGGTCCATCGTCAAAAATGGATATCTCATAGTAGTACAAAAGGTGGACCCTTTGGGTCGGCAGGTGGTCAAATACCTGAATGGAAAGAAATGTCCGCACCCCCACCACCCCTACCTCCTAAATCAGCCCCTGCATGCAGTGTCTAGCCAAAATGATGCGTTTTTCTGTTATTAACATATTGACATGTGAGAATTGACATTTTGTTTTTCGACATTTTCTTTTCAAAAACGAATCATGATCTAATAAAATTTATTTTAATCACTTGAAATTAAATTTTAAGTAAAAGCCCATTTCAATTGATAACAAGTAGCCCAGAATGTTCCGACCACAGTCTTAAAAAACAAATTTTTTTTTTCAAGTTGGGGTCGTTTTTTTTCTGCGTGTCGTGATAGGAAGACTTGAAGGAAAAAAAACAGAACTTAGGCATACTCTAAAGTCATAATACAACAGGTCAATTTAAAAACAGTTTTTGAAGAAAAATTACTAGAAACGAAAAAAAAATTGAAAAAAATTTCAAAAATTTTTTCAAACTTTTTTTTGCAGAAATGTTTGAATTTTCAAGTTTTAAATTCCCAAAACTGCGCTAAAAAACTCCAAAAACTAACTTTATTCGAGTAAACTAAGTTGAATATGCTACACGGTCACCTTTTTAGCTCGAGATTAGACCAAAAATCTAAAAAATCAAACCGGTTTTTTGTCGACTTTGTGACAAAATTTTCAAAATTTTAATGTCGTTCTTTAAAATGATATATCACTCACCCCAGTCCGATTTTTATTTGTGGTACCCGACGATTTTTCGTTGAAAACAAATAATCGATTAAAATGTTCATAAAATTGATTAAATTATCATCTTAAAAACAAGCGGTTTTAATCGATTATAAGTTGAATAATTTCTTTCTACACTTAAGTAGAATGAAATATATTGCACGTTTATTATCCAAATTTGACTTATTGTCGTCAAAGTAGTCCCAAATTCAAACCATTGTAACTTATTGAAAATTCATCATAGGCGAAATACTTTTTGAATTTGAGCTCCAGACAAAAAAATTCTTTGGATGGTCAAAAAAATTGTCATAAAAAGGGTTCGAGAGTCGAAACTTGACGGATAAAAAAAACACTTCAAGTTTTAATGTTACGTATTTCGTCGAGACTCGGAACAGTGAATTTTGGTAACTATTTTGATATTATACAAGTCGTCAAGCTTACACATTTTGCATGGAAAATTTCACTTTAGGCTGCAGTCCTTTTCTCTCATTTGACAGTGGCAGAAAAAATAATTTTAATGGTAGATTTTTGAACCAATTATATCACCCAACATAATTTTCATCAGATATTTTGCATGCAAAAGAGCTCAAAGTTTCGCTCATGTGATTCAGAGCAACTGCAGATATCATAATGTTACAGTGAATTATTCATCAAATTTGAGTCATTGACTAAGAGTGAGTATATTTAATTGATTTTATAAGAGATTTGCTTTTCATATTTTTCTGCCATCAATTGTATCGCAGTTTTCACTTTTCGTTTTTGACCGCCCAAATCCTGGACCATTAACTCATCTTCTGACCCCTTCTGAGAATCTGTTACGTTTTTACCTGAAGGAAACTCGGTACTTGTACTCGGAAACTCACACTCGGCTCTGCTTTGTTCTTTCTTATCCAAACAACCGATTGGTGTAGTTTTTGTTAAGGTAATTGTATTTATTTTTGTCGCATCTTTCATATCTTTTGGTTCCGCAGTGCTCCTCATTTTGTTGTTTTCACTGTGGCTGTTTTCTGGCGTAACATTGGATCTGAATTTCTCCAGAATCTGCTTAACTCCCAATTTTTCATCCTCCGTTTTCATCTGCCAGCTAGTATCCGCAGTTGAATTCTGGCACAATTCACTCGAACTACAACTCTTTTTCTCAAGCGTAGTGTTTTGTTCGCCTCTTTCATATGTACTTTTCTTATCTTCACTTTCTTTCTCAAATCTTTCATTTTTTGTTTCTTTTTTATTTGGGAAATCCACCACAGGCTTTTCGCTCGGCAGGTCCGATTTGAACAATGCATTTGTGATGGCACTGATTCTGGATGCCTGCTTTGGGGCATTGATTGTGGGTTGTTTGATTGGCAGACTTATTTTCTCTCGTTCGAACCCATCGCTCATCGCTCTTTTTTGCAGATCCTCATTGGACGCAGAATCAACTTCTGTAAATTAGCATCAAAAAGGTCGCCGAGTTTTATAGATTGCGTTTATGTCCTAAAAACCGTATGTTGGTCATTTCCATTGGAAATTTCCATTGGATGACTAAGAAAATCATCTTAAAATAAAACTTTTAAAATGTAAAAGACGTAGTATAACATAAGCTAATTGAGCAGCATTTGTTCGTTCATTTTTTCGACTAATGGAAAGAAGCAGCCGCTGTTTAACCTCCAAGTATGCAATTACTTTTGACCTGTTAAACAATTTCCGAGAACTTGCGGTTAACTTATAAATCAGATACTTTGTTAACTTCAGTTAGACTCTTCAGCACAAAAACGCTTAATTTTTTAAAATGAGAAAAAAGCGGATTTCCGAATTTAAGATTTAAATCAGATTTTGGGTGCAATCACTATAAACTAATGTGGCTCAACATAAACCTAGTCGATCAAGGAAGACTTATTGTAACAGCGGGATTCTATGAGAGACGAATCATCACTTTTAAAGATCTTGCAAGATAACCTTCCTTCAAATTATCTGACGAACGATCTTGCTAAAACAATTGTTTTAGCAAAATCCTAAAAAATATCATTTTTGCTGAGAAAAGTTAACTTTGAGCGACAGCCTATAAGAGTTTGTAGAACAAAAAAATATCCTTTCTCATACATACACACTACCTTTGGGGCCAATCACCTAGCGTATGCAACCCTCAATGATTTTCCATGGATAGTAATTGATTATAATGGATTTTTATGGTGTCTCCATAAAATTCTAAAATAATTGACTATAATAGGTTAATAAGCAATTATAAAACAAATAGAAACGAAATCAATTTAATCCAATATAATCGAATATAATGAATAATAAAAAAAATTTTTGAGTAAAAGCCAAGATGTTCTAAAACCTTAAAATCAAATATTTAAAACTTGAACATTGCAATCGCTAAATTGTGTTTTACATTTGACTGAAGCAAAAATTTGTATTGTTTTTCTACTTGTCTCCCCTCCCCCTAATTAACACTAACCACCATTCTTTCCTAGTTTCTTCACTTACCACCACTTACCCCATACTTACGTTTACCGTTTAAAACGTCAAAAATACCTACGCTTGGTGCGGGGGAGGGGGGGGTAGGTTGGGTTGGGTAGGTGAGGTGACGGAGAGGTAGGGGGAGGTAGGTGGGCGGGGGGGGGGCTAGATGAAGGTAAGTAATGGGAAGGGGGTAAGTTGGTTTTAGGTGGAGGTGAGAGCAGCGGGTTGGCGTAGGTTGGGATGGGTCGGTGGGGACGGGTCCTGAGGGTAGGTGCAGAAACATGGTTTTGCAAAAGTTAACTAAATCTGAGTAGGTTAAGAAATTGATTCGGCTGTGAGTAATGCAGAAAAAGCTGCAATTTTGCAGAAACTTTGGAAAAAAATTCAAGAGATTATAATCCATTACAATCCATTGTATTAGATTTTGAATGGAGAATCTTTTTTTTTGCTCTAAAAAGAACTATAATCGATTGCGTGTTTCCAAAGTGTAATTACAATCGCTTATAAAGCCAAAATTTTTGGCCATGAAAATCGAATATAATCGAATATTATCCATGAAAACTCACTGCGGGAAACGACTGATACTAAAAAGTTTTTTGCTTGTATCTTATATCTACTTGAACGCTGCATTTAAACTATATTGAGCTAGTTGACATTTTTGATCAAATTTATGATACAAAAGACCAAAAACAATTTTGAACCGCGAGCTCTGCGACACCCCGGGTTGACCTCCATAGACAAAAAACTAATCATACAATTTTATGAACTAATTCTATGAAGAAATTGCTTGTCATAAAAAATCATACATGAAAAATTTTAGAAAAGTGTGATCGAATTTTAAATTTTTTTTTGTTTTCGAATAAAAGTTGGTGTGCCGTCATAAACAAAAAAGAAAAAATTTTGGGCAGAAGGAATGCTAATCATACAATTTCGATAAAAGAAAAACCTAAGAATACAATTTTTCGATTCCAAAACTAAAGATTTTATATAGTGCAGTTTTGAAAATGCCCCGAATTTTTTTCTTTTGAAAACGCCCCGAATTTTTTTTGAAATTTTTCCCAGCACAAAACGAATTTCAATCAAAAAAATTTGTGTTAATTTTTTTAAAGAAAATTAAACTTTTGCTTTAGGAAAAAAGCTAATCATAGAACTTCCATATATGAAAAAAAAACTAATCACAGACCTTTCATGTAGTTTATTATACTTATGGAATTGTATGAAGATTGTATGATCAGCATTTTCTCAAACATAGAAATTGTGTGATTAGCTATTTTCTTCGACCGGCAATTTTGGTTCTGGCGGTTAAAAGAACTTCATATTAATGACTTATAGGGGTTGTTAGCTTGCTAGAACCTTGCGACAAAACGTTTCTTTGATCGACAAGAGACACTAACTGAGAAAAAATTATGGCCTTTTTTGGATTATTAGGAAAAACAATTGAAAAGATGATTTAAACCTGAAACCTCTGCACTTGCTGCGCCTCCAAATGCATCAATTCTGTTCAAATCACCGCCGTAACTTTCTCTCTCGCAAAAAGATCTTCCTCCACCGGAAATATTTTCAATCAGTGCTGCATTTTGTTGTCTAGCTGCGCCTTCGGCAGCAAATCCACTGGTCTGTCTGTGTCTAGTGCTTGCGCTTCTTTCCAGAGCACAACTGTCTTCCACCTCTGTCTTTTCTAGTTGTTGCATTGCGGTCTCCCCTTTTTCTTCTTTCAACAGCAAGTTTTTTTGCTCCTGGACTTGTTTTTTCTCGATACCGTTCGCCCTATCTTTCTCCTTTTCGTCTTCTGTTGCCTTCTCCAGTGGTGGGATTGCATTCTTCAATTTTTCTTCTTTGAGCTGCCAGTCATGATTCTCTTGTTCTTGTTTGGCCCTGATACGGTTTGCTTTCTCCTTTTCGTCCTCTGTTGCCTTTTCCAGTTGATGGATTGCATTCGTCAATTTTTCTTCTTTGAGCTGCCAGTCATGATTCTCTTGTTCTTGTTTGTCTCTGATACGGTTTGCTTTCTCCTTTTCGTCCTCTGTTGCCTTCTCCAGTTGTTGGATTGCATTCTTCAATTTTTCTTCTTTGAGCTGCCAGTCATGTTTCTCTTGTTCTTGTTTGTCACTGATACGGCTTGTTTTCTCCTCTTCGTCCTCTTTTGCCTTCTCCAGTTGTTGGATTGCATTCTTCATTTTTTCTTCTTTGAGCTGCCAGTCATGATTCGCTTGTTCTTGTTTGTCCCTGATATGGTTTGCTTTCTCCTTTTCGTCCTCTGTTGCCTTTTCCAGTTGTTGGATTGCATTCATCAATTTTTCTTCTTTGAGCTGCCAGCCATGATTCTCTTGTTCTTGTTTGTCCCTGATACGGTTTGCTTTCTCCTTTTCGTCCTCTGTTGCCTTTTTCAGTTGTTGGATTGCATTCATCAATTTTTCTTCTTTGAGCTGCCAGTCATGATTCTCTTGTTCTTGTTTGTCCCTGATACGGTTTGCTTTCTCCTTTTCGTCCGCTGTTGCCTTTTCTAGTTGTTGGATTGCATTCACCAATTTTTCTTCTTTGAGCTGCCAGTCATGTTTCTCTTGTTCTTGATTGTCCTTGATACGGTTTGCTTCCTCCTTTTTGTCCTCTGTTGCCTTTTCCAGTTGTTGGATTGCATTTTTCAATTTTTCTTCTTTGAGCTGCCAGTCATGATTCTCTTGTTCTTGTTTGTCCCTGATACGGTATGCTTTCTCCTTTTCGTCCTCGTCCTCTGTTGTCTTTTCCAGTTGTTGGATTGCATTCATCAATTTTTCTTCTTTGAGCTGCCAGTCATGATTCTCTTGTTCTTGTTTGTCCCTGATACGGTTTGCTTTCTCCTTTTCGTCCTCTGTTGCCTTCTCCAGTTGTTGGATTGCATTCTTCAATTTTTCTTCTTTGAGCTGCCAGTCATGTTTCTCTTGTTCTTGTTTGTCCCTGATACGGCTTGTTTTCTCCTTTTCGTCCTCTGTTGCCTTTTCCAGTTGTTGGATTGCATTCTTCATTTTTTCTTCTTTGAGCTGCCAGTCATGATTCTCTTGTTCTTGTTTGTCCCTGATACGGTTTGCTTTCTCCTTTTCGTCCTCTCTTGCCTTTTCCAGTTGTTGGATTGCATTCATCAATTTTTCTTCTTTGAGCTGCCAGTCATGATTCTCTTGTTCTTGCTTGTCCCTGATACGGTTTGCTTTCTCCTTTTCGTCCTCTCTTGCCTTTTCCAGTTGTTGGATTGCATTCATCAATTTTTCTTCTTTGAGCTGCCAGTCATGATTCTCTTGTTCTTGCTTGTCCCTGATACGGTTTGCTTTCTCCTTTTCGTCCTCTGTTGCCTTCTCCAGTTGTTGGATTGCATTCTTCAATTTTTCTTCTTTGAGCTGCCAGTCATGATTCTCTTGTTCTTGATTGTCCTTGATACGGTTTGCTTCCTCCTTTTTGTCCTCTGTTGCCTTTTCCAGTTGTTGGATTGCATTCTTCATTTTTTCTTCTTTGAGCTGCCAGTCATGATTCTCTTGTTCTTGTTTGTCCCTGATACGGTTTGCTTTCTCCTTTTCGTCCTCTCTTGCCTTTTCCAGTTGTTGGATTGCATTCATCAATTTTTCTTCTTTGAGCTGCCAGTCATGATTCTCTTGTTCTTGCTTGTCCCTGATACGGTTTGCTTTCTCCTTTTCGTCCTCTCTTGCCTTTTCCAGTTGTTGGATTGCATTCATCAATTTTTCTTCTTTGAGCTGCCAGTCATGATTCTCTTGTTCTTGCTTGTCCCTGATACGGTTTGCTTTCTCCTTTTCGTCCTCTGTTGCCTTCTCCAGTTGTTGGATTGCATTCTTCAATTTTTCTTCTTTGAGCTGCCAGTCATGATTCTCTTGTTCTTGATTGTCCTTGATACGGTTTGCTTCCTCCTTTTTGTCCTCTGTTGCCTTTTCCAGTTGTTGGATTGCATTCTTCAATTTTTCTTCTTTGAGCATCCAGACTTGTTTCTGTTGTTCTTGTTCGTTCTTGATGTGGTTTGCTTTCTCCTTTTCTTCCTCTGCTGCCTTCTCCACTTGTTCGATTGCATTCTTCAATTTTTCTTCTTTAAGCTGCCAGTCATGTTTCTCTTGATCTTGTTTGTCCTTGATACGGTTTGCTTTCTCCTTTTCGTCCTCTGTTGCCTTTTCCAGTTGTTGGATTGCATTCATCAATTTTTCTTCTTTGAGCTGCCAGCCATGATTCTCTTGTTCTTGTTTGTCCCTGATACGGTTTGCTTTCTCCTTTTCGTCCTCTGTTGCCTTTTTCAGTTGTTGGATTGCATTCTTCAATTTTTCTTCTTTAAGCTGCCAGTCATGTTTCTCTTGATCTTGTTTGTCCTTGATACGGTTTGCTTTCTCCTTTTCGTCCTCTGATGCCTTTTCCAGTTGTTGGATTGCATTCTTCAATTTTTCTTCTTTGAGCAGCCAGATCTGTTTCTCCTGTTCTTGTTCCTTCTTGATACAATTTGCTCCATCGTTTTCCTTCTCCTTCGCTTTTTCCATCAAGTTTTGAATTGCGGTCTGCAACTTTTCTTCGTTGAGCAGCCAGTCTTGTTTCTCCTGGTCCTGGTCATTCTTGATACGGTTTGCTCTTTCTTTTTCATCCTCTATCGCTTTTTCCAGTTTTTGGATTGCGATCTTCAACTTTTCTTCTCTCATCAACCAGTCCTGTTTCTCCTCGTCCTGTTTGTACTTGATACGATTCACTCTCTCTTTTTCATCCTGGGTTGCCTTTTCCAGTTGCTGGATTGCGGTCTTCAACTTTTCTTCTTTGAACAGCCAGTCCCGTTTCTCCTGTTCTTGCTTGTTCTTGATATGGTTTGCTTCCTCCTTTTCGTTCTCTGTCGCCTTTTCCAGTTGTTGGATTGTAGTTTTCAAATTTTCTTCTTTCAGTAGCCAGTCCTGTTTTTCATTGTCTGTTTCCTTCTTGATACGGTTTGCTCCATCTTTTTCCTTCTCTTTCGCTTTTTCCAGCAGTTGTTGGATTGCGGTCTTCAATTTTTCTTCTTTCAGCAGCCAGTCTTGTTTCTCATTTTCGTGTTCACTCTTGATGCGGTTTGCTCTATCTCGTTCCTCTGTGAAATCTTCTTCGCGAATGGACACCTGGAAATTTTTTTCGTTTATTAGAATTGTTGAATTTGACAGTAACACTATCTTTTAACTGCATAAAAACAAAACTTTCAGGCGCCCTTACCGCCTTATATAGAGGTAAGGTCGTGACATCTGAATACCCTAAAAAGATATCAACACGGAAAATACTCCCCAAAATAGGTAAGCTTCTCAAACCCTTTGAACGATTTTCTTCAGATAAAAAAATTCAAAAAAATTGATTAACCTGAAATTTCTGCAAATCCACTTCTTCTTTCAGTTCCACAATCGAATTTTGCAACGCATTCAATTCCCTGTTTTTCTGTTCCAGTTGTTGTTCCAAATTCACTACTAAATCTTTTTCAACCATTGGGTTGTTACACTTTTCCGCGTGTTGTTGCACTTCGAAAACTTCGCCTGACAATTTTTCTTGTTCAGGTTTCAGTGTGCCTTTTTCTTTTAAAGCATCATATGACCATTTAAAGTAACTCAGCAGATCTTCGTACGGCGGATTCTGCTGCGCAAGCATGTCAAGTTTTGGTACTGCTTCCGTCAGACTTGCAGTCAACTCCAAAATTTTCAGATCTCTCACTTTGCACTTCTCAAAATCTCCTTCCAACTTTGATTCGTAATCCCTGATTTCGCTCTCATGTCTGTGCTGCATATCCTCAATAACCCATCTTAGAGTCTTTTCCTTTTCCTCTATATCTTTTGCATTTTGCTTCGTCTCTTGCATTTGTTGTTCTATTTGCTTCGCATTTTGCTTCCAGTCCCTCAATTCTTTCTGCATTTGAGCCAGCTCATTACTAAGACGTTCATTCTCTGCTTGCATTTCGTCGCTAAGTTTCCCGACATCCCGCGGCTCCTCGTCTTTCTTCGAGGCCTCAGCGCTACTTAAACTCAATTGCCGTTCCATGTTGTCAATCTTTTCTTTCAGATTGCGATTTTCTTGCTCTGTTCTTCGATTTTTCTCAGTCATTTCAACAAGCAGTTTTTTGTTTTCTTCTTCAGAAGCCATGGTTGTACGTTCTATAACTTGCTTGTCGGTGCTGAGTAGTTCAACTTCATTTTTGACGTGCTCAAGTACTTGGTATGAATTCAGCTGCTGTTTTCTGCACACTTCGCAATACACTTCCCTGTGTTTCCGCAGCTGCTGAAAAACAATTTCATAGCCAATCGACTTTTTAATCTTTAAACCAGTAGCGGTTTAGAAAAACAAAACAAATACCCAGAAAAAAGCGCTAAAAATTCAAAGCTATTTTAACTCGAGTAAAAATAGGTTTTCACGGCCTAAATTAAGCTTAAATAAGTTTTTGTTAGCCTGCAAACCTTATTTTGACAAACCTTATTAGCTCGAAAATAGACCAATAATCAAAAACTTCAAACCAGTTTTTCTCGACACTGAGAAAATTTTTTCCACAATCCGATGATAAATTAAGGACCTGATTTTGCATATCCTCCTCTAAAGGTAAAAATGGACAAAAAATTTCCGCCTGATGTGAGCCAAAATGATGAATTTAGCAATCGCGTTTAGAGAGTTTTGGTATCTTTTAGTCTTTGGCTTTCAACAAGAAATTGGAGCCTTTCTGAGGACCATAAGCAGAGCTAGCCAGAACTGCAGGTCTAGGATTCATGGAAAAACAAATAGTAAGGAACACTTGCACTGTTGATGCGAACTCGGAGATGCAGTTAGAATTATCTACCTAAATATTGTAAACAGTGTCAAGCAAAGGACACCATTTGTGAAATATGCAGTTTCAAGGGCTAATGAACCTTAATTTCAATGAGCGAAAAAATAAAACAAATGGCAAATAATGTATAACAAGAAATTCAACTCCAATATCGAAATCACCTGTCTGTGTTGTGTTTCAGTATTTTTAGTATGTTATAACCTTGACCTCTATTATCTAATTACGTACCAGTCAATGTTAACTCTACGAAGTCCAGTGGACTTCGGATCACTAGTTGCTCTTTTGAGACTACAGTCAGTTTTAATTCAACCAATACTTTTATTCTCTTTTAACTTTAGTTAGATACATTAGTTACCAGTGGTACATTTTAACTTTTTATTATGGCGCAGTCAACAACTGATTCGAACCTGCGGGGAATACCCGCCTTTTGGCCGAACCACACGGTAGAACCTCCCACCCAATGGAACAACTGGATAGACCAATTCCATTTGGCTATTATCGCGAAGGAAAATTTAGACATAGACAACTGCAAGGAACCAATGGAAGGGGAGACGGTCATTACCGATCCTAGAAGGCGCCCAGGAGTCAGAAACTGACCAACAGAGGAAAGCCAGGGAGGCCAGTAACAAAGAAATAATGCGAGTCTACGAACACGCTGAAGAGAAAAGACTTGCAGAAGAAAAACGGAAATTCGGAGGAATGAGGAGATATGAGGCCGACAAAAAAGTAAGGTCAATCCTATACTAGGCCTTAGGAGCAGAAAGCAAAAGAGTTTTCGCCCAGAAACATCCAAGGGTAAAAGTCCTAGGAATCTCATTCAAGGAATTTTATGAACTGCTAGAATTGGCTTTTATCAAACCAACCAACATAACATTTGAACGATATAAATTATTGAGCAGGAAACAAAAGGATAAAGAATCCTATGAACAATTTTATGGCGCGTTATCAGATTTAGCAAGATCATGTGAAATTGGAATTAATGCAGAACAGGAGTGGATCAGAGACGTACTTATTTTTAACATGAAAAACTGCGACTTACAACGTAGACTACTTTCGGAAACTCTCAATCCATTGGATGCACTAAACCAAGCAATCATTGATGAAAAAGGCTACTATAACCACCTCAAATTAACCAATATGACTAGATCTTTCAACACGACAGGAAAAAGCGGGAGAGTGTATAAAAACTTCAACAACGTAAAAAAGGAACCACGCTTGAACATAGAAAGATCAAATACTTGTATAAAATGCGGGATAGCGTTTACCAAGGGTCATCTGAATGTGTGTCCGGCGAAAGAAATTGTTTGTAATATTTGTAAATATAAAGGACATTTCGGAAGACTTTGTAAATCGAAAGGAAGAAAACCCGCTGTAAACATTATAGACGAAGCTGTAAATAGTCAGAATTGTTCATACTCCCCAGAAGAACTTCAGGCAAGACGCGAAGAGAATTTTTGCGGAGTGATTAACGCTTGGACCGAAGAGGGGATAAGCGATAACGATGACTATTCCGTTCTCAACATCAGAACAATCTACGATACCAATGGCTTGGAAACCAAGAAACTAGTCAACATCGGTTTGGGAGACGATGCAATAGTCAACTTGAACATTCCAGTGGATTCGGCAAGCCCAGTGCACTTCCTGAAACAAAATGTACTTCACGAATTGAAGTTGAGAAACCCACAATTGAAGATACAGCCAGTAGAGAAGAAAACTAGGGAACTATATTGCGGATTCACCAACGACACAATCAACATCATCGGGAAAGTGGTAGTGAGATTACAATCCAATGGATGGATCGCGGACGAAACCCCATTTTTTATCACTTCTGGACATGAGAGGAACATCCTGGGAAACGACAATCTCCCGAGAATTGGAATCGAGATAGCCCAACGACAGCCTCTACTACCCGTCAATAACATATCACGCCCAGAGTTGTGTAAGTTAAATAACTATTCAGACACGATCCTTAATCTGTATCATAAGTACAAAGGGTTGTTTAACAGAGTGGGAAAAATACCATTGGACAGAAAAGTTACTCATTTCCACTACCCATTCAAATCTATCCAAACCAAAGGTAGAAGAGTTCCCCTACATCTACTCGATAACGTAAAAACGGAACTAAATAGAATGGAAAAAGAGGGGCATATCGTGAAGTTAAGCAAATGCGATGGAGATTGTTTTATAAGTCCAATAGTGATTACAAGAAAAAAAGACAGTAGCATCAAGTTGGCATTGGATTCGAAACTATTAAATAATCAGATATTCAAGAACAAGTATCAAATGCCAAACATACACGAACTGATCGATAATATTGCACTCCAACTGTCAAGCAAAGAGTCAGGGGAAGTTTGGTTTAGTAATCTAGATCTAAAGAACACGTACAGCCAACTACAATTATGCACAGACACCAGCAAACTGTGTAGTTTTAGTATTGTGGGGGGGGGGGACCACTGGAACCTATAGGTTTTTAACTGGATTTTACGGATTGGGCGATATGCCAAACGTTTTCCAGAGGGTGATGGATTCCTTATTGAAAAACATTCCTTTTATCAATTGTTATATCGAAGACATTTTAATAGCTTCGAAAGGTTCAATAAATGCGATACTAACAAATATTTTAAACATTTTGGACAACAAGAATATGGCGGTAAAATGGGAGAAATGTGCATTTTTCCAAAAAGAAATACAGTGGCTAGGTTTCAAGATATCAAACTCGGGCGTGAAACCATTGGTGGGAAAATCAGATTCGATTAAAAACCTACCAAACCCCAAAAATTTATCTGAACTTAGGTCTTCCTTTGGGTCGATCAATCAGTATATGAAATTCGTCCCGAATTTGTCTTTCCTAAGTTCTCCCCTACGACCACTTCTCCTAAAGAAATCAGTCTACCAATGGTATGATGAACATACTAAAGCGTTTGAAGAAATAAAACAACAGATAGTAAACATAACAGAGAACAATCATTTCGACATAAAGAGGATGTCAAGACTAAAGACAGACGCTTCTCATAGCGGCTTGGGAGCTACCCTAGAACAATGAGATGAAGAAAATTGGGTAACAATAGCATTCGCCTCCCGATTTTTAAATAACCACGAAAGTAAATATTCGAAAAACGAACTTGAATTGTTGGGAGTAGTCTGGGCGACAGAACATTTTAAAAATTACTTGTATGGTGCTGAATTTGAAATTGTAACGGACCATAAGGCATTGTTATCAGCATTAAATGCAAATCAGAGTAACTATGCATAGCAGATTAACCTGTTGGGTAAACCGACTTTACCATTTAATTTCAAGATCAAGCACATACCGGGAAAAGAAATGGGATTTACAGATTTATTGTCGAGACTACCTTCAGGAAAAGCACTCCCAACCTCACACTATGATAGCGAATTTGTAGTGGCTACAGTACAAAAGATTGTAGAAAACTTCTCTGTAAATAGCGATTGTTAAAAGAATAATTGTAAAAAGAACGAAGTGTATAATCCATTGGATGTAAAAACGATCATTAACTTGGATTGTAATAATCCAATGGGCGGAAAGAAAGAATTATCGCTAAGCATCCAACGGTCGTTCTTCTCGAATATTCTGAATTACGTAAACGACATTATCAGAATTTGTAATTCCAATCACTCGCGTTCAGAGTCTTGCACAAGCGGTTGTGTTCCATTAAATTTATCAAAATTTGACTTCAATTACTTTCACTTATCAGACAAAACTTTTCTATTCTTTCTTGCCCAGTCATTACTATTAATCAATCAGTCATTAAATTCAGATAAAAAAACAGTTATAAGAATTCATTACATCGGTTAGTTGTTAAAAATTTCCCTCAGGGCAGAAAAGAAAGGAATCTTATTGAATTTTAATAACGATATAATGTCAGACTTACACAAGAAATTACTGACCAAGTAGGGAGATCTCAAATTGCCTGACAACCCGTTATCACTCTCAGATCATTGCTCAAATAACCTTAACAAACTCATGACGGACGAAGATAAAATCCTCAAGGAGGTAAAGAAGGCGGTACAGGAAGCAAACCATTGGACAAATTCGGAGCCTATTTAAAGAACATCAAGAGGGACATTCACGTGAAAGAAGGACTGTTATTTAACGATAACAAACTGATAGTGCCGGCTGCATTAAGATCACCATTCCTGTCACTTCTTCACGAGACTCACCCAGGACAGTTCGGGATGAAAGCCCTGGCAGAAAACATCTGGTGGCCACACCTATACAGAGAGATCTACTATCACGGAAAGAAATGCACTCAGTGTATTATGGCCGGTAAGAACCTAAAAGTGTTACTAGGGACGAACAAGACTGAGAAATTATCGATTCTGACCGAACCAAATGACGAAGTAGATTTAGACTTTGCGGGCCCATTGGAAAAAAGTTGGGGTAACTCAAAATACCTTTTGTTATGCATTGATCGCTTTTCAAAGTTTCCGTCTGCAAAAGTAT